AATTCTTCGCACCTCACCTCAGCTGTGGCGCACCCCTTCTTGCTACGTCTCTGTGTCCAAATTTTGCTATGATTTCATGGTTTGCTCGTCGTAAATGTTTTTATTTTGATGCTTTGTTGTTGGATTCTTTAAACGTATTTTATGCTGCTATTTTTGGAACTCGGCCAAATATCGTCGTCCACCACCCTCCTACCACGTCTCTCACCGATCTGCTCGTCTGGTTTGTTTTCCTATTTGCCTCTGCTTGTTCTTGTGCTTTGCTTTGCTCGATTTTCCATTTTCATTTGTAGCGTTATTAAATTAAAATTCTGCCTGTCCTCAGGCTCAGGTTAGCTGGCTTCTGATCAACATTTATTATTTCCACCTCATCTATTTTTAGATCCGTTAAGTAACGGCCCCAGCAATAACGAAAGTCGAAGTCGAGTCGAAGCTATTAATACCCTTTCACATCGTTCGATATCATGTCACATCGATTCGCATAAGATATGGTAATTAATATACATGTTTACATAGTAGAATGAAGACATCTAATTTCGATACATTAAAAGTATTATTTTGCTAAGCTAAATACGGTGTGCGCGCTGTGTCTTGCAGTTTAGATGGGACTTGAAGTCCGCGTTTAAGACGAATATAGATTGGAGCATTTTCTAATACATATTTTGAATTACGTCGACTTACTGGTGCATGTAGTACGATTTTGGGATTGGGATAGAATATTTTACTGCTTAAAAAACTGAACAGAAACAGCTGATTTAAATTGAACGGTAAATTGGCAGTCAGTAAATGTAGCAAGGGAATCAGCATCATCTGTGTAGCATCATTTGTTAAATGTTTCAACCGAAAAAAATTACATAGATAGATAGAAAGTACATGTAGGGACGATCTTTGACTTGGCAAATATACTCTCCAAGGGTATTGAAAGATCTAGAGACAGAGTAAGGTCTTTCAAGTTTTTTTCATCGCATGATGGAAATATACATAAATATATATCTACATAAATAAATAGATACACATACATGGAATATGTACATATATCTGTATGCACGAGTGTGCATGTTGATGAGGAGAAGGGTGTAGGGTGGGTGGTGAGGTTGACTTGTGTAGGTATATTTAGCATAACATCCAACATATGCCACACAGATGCAGTGCGTCGATGGGCTACGGTGGCAGGTGAAAATAAAAACACACACACTGGGAAGGAAGCGTAATGCACGAACTATCGATGGATCGATTTTGGATACTTTCAAAGGAAAGGAAAATGCTTCGCTATCTATGTAAATATGTACATATGTACATATGCATGAATGTATGTATGGGTATACATATTGAACTTTACCTTCTTGGGCGCCAATTTGGACAATTGGTTATAGCTAATTGTGTGAAATTTACTTGAAATTACATTTCAAACCTCAACCTGGAGGACCCCTCTCCCAGATATGTATGTCTTACCTGCTGGGCGACAGGATCCAATATGCTTTCGATGGTTTTTGTGTGGAAGACGGGCATTTTGGCTTCGGTCTTCTTCCTCTTATTGAGATTTTGTTTATATCAAGGTATGTATGTATAATTCTCTACCTGTAGCGCTCTCTCTCTCTCTCTCTCTCTGTATCTCTTTTATGGGGCAGCTTTTGTGTGTTTTTGTATTCTGAAAATAAAGAAAACATTGAAATCAGCAAAGCAAAGCGAAGAATTCTTCAAGAAAAAGATAAGACAGACATCCCAAGAGGTTATCTCTGTGTGGATTCCGGACCTATCCGTAATCAGGCAGGCAAGAAATCCACGAATCCAATGAACACTCTTCCAACAAGATTTCCTTACTCATACCGATATCCAGATGGGGACTTCGATGCGCGTTAATAATCAATTCCCCCACTCAACAATATCTCAATCTTTTCGCTCCGAGTGTGCTTTTGCTAGTGGTGTGGTTCTGTTTGGTCTGTTTTGGGGTCTGTTCGTTCGTTCGTTTGTCCGTTTGTTTGGATTTAACGATGACGCATCTTGTGAGCTCATGCTAAGGCAGAGGGATATCGATGGCCAGACTGCAACAACACACAGATACGATTATACACCCGTATTATTGGTGACGTGACGCATTAGCCCCAACTTGGTGGAACTGTGGGTCCGCACCCTTTGCGTGCTTCAGTCCCTTCCTGGCTGGCGGCTGACCACTCAAATAATTGGCAATGGTGTACAATGAAAAGTGGGAAATGTGGAACCAGAAAGTGAAATCCCAGCCAAAAGACATTGAAAATGCGATTTCCTCCTGAGGTGGGGCCGTGGGGAATAGAATAGTGCGTGGGGTAGGCTAGTGGACAGGTCTTCTATTGGCTCTCTCTGTTGGCTGCCTTTCCTCCGTTCTCCAGAAGCTCTGGTATATCTGTGGGTATATATTTCCGGATCTCTGGAACCTTTTTCACGCCCGACACTGCCATGTGTAAATATCTAAATATATGTATGTTTGTACATACATATGTATGAACGTATGTTTGTACTATTTCTAGAAATACTTTGTGATGCTCGCCTGCCACTTATGGAATTTTGCGTTCGATTGATTTTCGCCATTCGGGCAGCTCGAAATTCATAAATGAATAACAGCCACAGCCGCCGCAAATAATATGTGGGCTGGGGTTTATTGACTTGGGGCTGTTCGCCTATAACCATTTATGGCCAACAAACTGTTGCAACCGATAGGCCAGGCCACCACCGATGGCGACAGCGGAACAGGTTCATCCGATCGAGGGTCACGGCAGCCAGCGACTGATCCCCGCCCGATGTGAAACTATCTGATTCGCCTCAAGGCGAACCGCTCAGAGGGAAGGGAAGCTCTTCAAGTGCCGCTCAGCCAGGGGGGGCAGGCACCGCTTTTCGTTTATTAATGCAACAAATGACTTCATGGGGGATGCACTAGGGAGTCGCCTGATTGCAGCTGTGGCCAAACATTGTGGGGGGGAAACGATCGTTGTTCGGAGGGTGCAGGCACAACAGCAATGCACGCGTGCGTCCCCATGCGCGCTCCTCTTCCAGCACACACACACACACACACATGCTCCAATAGTTGCCGCTACACCGCGTGTACATAGATAGTTACATACATACAGATATGTACGTAAACGCTAGTGTATGAATATTTAGGGCAAATCTTTGGGCTGTGTACAAACACACACGAAGAGGTAGAGGGGGCACGTTTGCTGCCTTTTACATTCACAGTTATTCAATTGTCTCAGTAATTTTTATGGTTGCATATTCCGCTTCTGATTGTGCTTCTGTTCTGGCTCTTTTTCATCTCTTCGCACGAATTATTAATCACAACACCAACACACACTCGCATTGAGCGACTGACAGCGACAATGGGTTCAGTTCACGTTCACAGATACAAAACGAAACAATAAAAAAATATAAGAAAATGAAAATAAGTCAATAAATAATAAAAAAAAAAACTGTTTGGGTTCTGCTGGCGGTTCTCTTTCCCGTTCTCGACTATCAAATCAACAACTAATTTACGGAATACGCTCGACAGTGTGTACATATGTATGTATATTCATATGCACATGTGTATGTAAATATGTAGGTGCTGCCGCTATTTACTTTTGTACGTTTGCTTTTCGCTCTGGCCGTCGTCGCTTGTGCAGCTGCGCCCCAACTTGCTTGCCCGACTTTTGAATACTGACAGAAAGATTCCGATTCCGATTCCAATTGGGGGGCACACACTCATCCAGAGTGCGCCAGCAGCGGTGACGATTTTGTCGTTGTGTTGTTGTTTCGCAGCTTATTCTTCTCCCTTCTTCGGCTGCTTCTTCTTCTGCTGCTCTCTGCTGCTGCTGCTGCTTCTTCTGCTTTTGCTTTCTGGGCTCCAACATTCTAACATGCTTTGCTTTCCCTTCTCTCTCACTCTCTGCCAAACATCTGGTCCTATCGATAAGTGATATCGATGAGTATTCAAATTCTTGCAATGATCGCATTTCAAACGGAGTAATACCTGAGAAATTAAATAATCCACTGTACGATTGCATAATAGTCGGGCCCCAACGAGCATGCGATCTGTTTGTTACGTGGTACTGGGTTTTCTACAGCACCAGCCATGTACATGTATGTATTTAACGCGGGCTGCACAATGCAACATATCTAGGTAGGTATTAAGCACATACCGCACTTCAGCTTAGCTTATTTCCGTTGACTGAGTTTTAGCTGAGCTGAGCGGAGCTTCAGCTGGGGCTCGCTCGGGTGCAGGTGCAGGCCTCCGTGCCTTCCGTCTGCGTGAGCGAAGAAGTTCGCACACAACACACAGCCGAAGGAAAGAAACAAAATAACGAAAAATAAACAAATAAAAGCAGTGGGGAAACAACTTCACCGAATCCCCCATGCCCTGTGACGTTATTTGCAGGGCACTGAATCCGAGTCCCATCCCCATATCCATGCTGATATAATCTGACATTTCTGGTTGAAGATCCCATCGGAGAGCCGGGGATCGCTCTCCTCGAGTGGTAGGGTGTCAGCGGAGTGCGGCCAGACCGCTTTGAGGAATCTGCAGTGGCGAGAAACCACCCACAATCCATGACACGGCCACATCTACAATGGAATTTGTGGGTTTTAGTGGATCGCGACGCGTGCGCGTGCGCATGCGCCTAACCATACCCCCATACCACCCTAGCCGCAGCCATAGCGATAGGCATAGCTTGGATGTTGGTTCGGTGCTGCGGCACGGAAGCGAAACCAACTGGCGCCGGGCATTCCTCCAGCCCAACGCCACATTCCAGCCCAGCCCCATCGGCTGACGGGCTGACGGGTAATATATAAATTAAATAGTTGCATGGGGCCAGCAACCAGAGCACTTGGAGCCTTCGCAGCGGGCACATCGTCAGAGTCTTCAACGCCGCATTCGGAACAAAAATCAAGCGGCATGGATAATCGTAGCGTGGTAAGCCAGAGATCGAGAGATCGGGAGATCGCACGGAGGACAAAGGACAAAGGATTATAACGCTCTTTCTTTGCAGCTTCTGAGGATGGCTGTCGTGATAGCGATGGTTCTGCTCTTTGTGTGTGTTCAGGAAACGAATGCCGGGTATATATCGAAGCCGGATGGGGGCTGGGGGGCCGGGCTCGAAGGGGCACTCACCTATCACTCCCTACTTGCAGTAGCCAACAGAAGAAGAAGAAGATTGTGATACACGTGCCGATTCACAAGAAAATCGAGAAGCACATCCACACGGTGGTGAAACACGTGCACCACCACCACAAGCCCCTCGTTCTGAAGGAGGAGAAGAAGGTCATCCACGAGGACCATCGTCCCATCCAGATCCACCAGACCAAGGAGCTGGTACACCATCACGAGAAGCACGACCACCACGACCACCACGACCATCACGACCACCACGACCACCATGAGTACCAGCACCAGCACCAGAACCACCACGCGGTGCCAGTGGAGGTGCCGGAGGTGGAAGAGGAGGAAGAGGAGCACATCCACCACCACCACAACTACGAGCACAAGGGACGGGACGACTTTATCGGCGGCGACGCGAGCAGCAGTGAGGAGCGCTGACTATGCGGCGCCTGCACCGAGTGCCGGGACCCACAGCGCCACCCACAGACTGATCTTTACGTGAACCAAAACCAAAATAAACTAAGCGCGCCCTAGATGCTTTTCGGGTTTCTCATTTGTGATTTAATTAGTTCTAGCCTGCAATATTTGTATTTGCTTTTTTTTTTTGTATTTTTTTTTATAGTTTAGAACGCAGATTAAGTGTGGCTATGGCGACGATCAATACATAACGGATTAAATAAATGAATATTTTTTAATTTGATTTTGATAACAGTTCGATAGGTTGGAGCGCACAAATAGCGAAAGCGATAGTTGGCTGCTCTGCTTGTATCGCAATGCAATGCTCTTCTATCGATAGCAACCAGTTGTCGTCCGTCGGCATATGCATATGCGCCCCACCTCTAGCTATCAGACAAGATATGAGAAATCACTCGATGGAGCAACAACAGCAATAATAACAACGGGAAGCAGAAGCAGCAGCAGCAGCAGCACAGCACTTGCCATCGATAGTTTGCCACCTCTAATACTTTGCGAAAAAAGAAAAGAAAAGTAAAACAAAAGAAAAAATTACAAGATTGGATGAGATTTTTGATTTTGTTCGTTCGCTGCTGCATTTCACATTCGCGTTTGAGCCGTTGTCATCATCCTCGTCCAGCGGAGCCCCCGGCCATAGCTCCATAGCACCATAGCACCAGTATCAGCATTGCATTCGCTTTCCCCCCTCTCCAAGGCAACCACAGCAACGCCTTCGTCCCCGTGCCCATTCAAGTGCCGTTCCAGCCAGCCAGCCAGCCATCAGCCATCCCCTTGCTTGCCAGCCCTCCTGCCAGTGCCAGTGACAGTGGCAGTGCCAGCCCTGCCCCCTGCTTAATCAGGAAAACCAACAAACAAACAGACTTCTGACGAATTCTGACTAAGGAAATCGACGAAAGAGCATCCGCATCCCCATACATACATCAACAACAACAACAGTGACAGCTAGCACCGTCGCAGTCGCAGTTGCAGGCGCAGTTGCAGTTGTAGTTGCAGCTGCAGCCACATCCATATCCGCTTTCAACGACCAGCGACCAGGGACGGCTCAGTGTGGATACCCGACCCTGTAACCGGCCCAGGCAGGCCCCGGCCCCGCCCCAGGCGTACCTCAGCACCAGCCGCAGCCGCAGCTACAGCCCACTGGCGAAGCTGTGCGGGGAACAATAGAGATGCAGTATAGGCCACCATGGGTTCGCAGACCTTGGAGATACTGCGCCAAGGCGTGTGGGCCTCGCTGACCGGCGGCTACTTCTACGATCCGCATCAGGGCGTCTTCTGCAACGTGGTGCACCTGTATCTCTGGCTGTATCTGGTCTGTTCGCCCTTTGTGGCGTACTTGGTAAGTCTCCAAAGAATGGCCTTGAACTGTTCTCCACATCTGTACTCCTCCGCATTCCGTCTCTGTAGTATTTCCCGAGCACTTGGCTGACATGGTGCCTGTACTGCGTGATCACCAGCCTCACCATTCTGATGGTGAAGCTGGCCAACCTGGCCCTGCACCGGCTGTACGATCGGGCGCAGACCATGTCCGAGGTGAACCTGAAGAGCCAGTTCTTCAAGGTGACCAAGGAGACGGAGCCCCGGCACGACGACGAAGGTGGCATCGAAATGAAGGTAATACGGCCTGGCGGCTCGCGCATCTCCGTCGAACAGGCCATCAATGAGGCGAGCGAGGAGAACAGCATCATGTCCATTGACAACGTGAATAGTATCATTGGTGAGTCCCAGCACGCACCCACCACGCACCACAGCACCACATCGGACTCAACTTTGGCTCAACCTTGTCGTTTGCTTGCAGATCTCAAGGTCGATGTGCATCGCAAGAACAGCTCAGAGTCCATCGAGCTCATGTTCTATGCCCCATCCATGCTGTCAGGCGGCAGCCAGCAGGACCAGCAGTCTCTGGCCGGCTCCGCCAGCGTCACAAAATCAATTCGGAGCGCCAGCGCCGCCACCAGTGCCGCAGTCCAGGCAGATCTCTTTAGCAAATACCTCACCGTCTATCCCGAGGTGGTGGAGGCGGCCGGAAGCAGTGCTGGTAGCGCCGACGGCGGTGCCAGCAGCGGCGGCGACAGCAGCAGCATGGTGCCACGATCCGGATGCGGAGCTGTAGCCCTAGCAGCTGGCGGAGGAGTGTCCGCTCCCACGAACATCCGCACGGGGCACCTCTCCCGCAAGTGCTCCGAGGTCTTCAGTCGCCGCCACCGACGTCGCCTGGAGCGCCAGAGCAGCCTGGACGCCGCGGCAGCCGCCGCCACCATCTCCCACGACCACAGGCTGTTGCGCAACCAGTCGGACACGATAGCCACAGCTGCCCCCTCCTTCCTGCACTCGCAGCCGGCGGGCAAGGCCCGTGGCCAGGCCAGCGGCAGTTGCAGTTCCCGCCAGCATTTCATAGCCAGCACCCCAGCTGGAGCTGGAACTGGAGGTGGCGGCGGAGGCGGAGGCGGAGACACCGCTGGCGCCTCTACAGCGGTGGTGGTGATTGCCCCACACGCCAATCCCGGCTCCAATCCGGGCCGATCGTCGCGCCTGCAGCGGCACCGCAGCTCCGAGACCCACGACGAGCGCCTGAAGCACCAAAGCCACCAGAGCCGCGGCGGCGGCGGCCTCTTCCAGCCCATCCTCCAGCACCAGCACCAGAACGCGGCCAGCAGCATTGGCGCCCTGGCCGTGATCGGCGGCAACAGTGGCCCCAACGACGTCGAGGACATGGAGCTGGGCCTGGCCCGCAACTTGGGCAGCGGCGGAGTGTCCGACGCCTGCACCCGTGCCCTCCAGTCCTGGATACTAGGTAGGCCCTCATCCCTCATCCCCAATCCCTAATCGCTAATCGCTAATCCAATGTGTGATCCCCTCGTTGCAGATTCCTCGTCGGATGTGTACCTGGAGGACGACAGCTATACCAAATCGGATCTGGGCATCGAGCAGCCGCACCTGCCGACGTTCCGCCGCTCCCACCTGCACCATCGCTACCACCATCATCACCACCTGCACCACCACCTGGGCGGCGGGGCCATCATCCGCAAGGACCCCACCAGCACCATGTCGGCGCTCCAGCTGGCGGGTGGGGGTGTTGCTCCGCCCGATCCCACTCGAGGATCCACCGGAAGCGGAGGAGTCGCAGGTGGGTCTGGCGGAGTGGCCGCCGGTGGATCTGCTGCGGGTATGAAGGGACGACGACATTCCAATGCCACCAGCTACCATCCCAAGTACAGCGGACAGGCCTCCAAGTCGGCCCTGCTCTCGGGTGGAGGAGGAGCGGGCCACTCGTCCGCAGGAGCGACTGCCGGAGTAGGAGGAGGCGGCGGAGGCAGTGGTGGGGGCCAGCAGACGGGCGGCGTGCGGAGGATCAAGAGCACCGCCCTCGAAGTTCTCTGTCCGCAGCCGTCGGTGTCCAACCTGAGTCCGCATCCCAACAGCGTGGAGGCCATCTCGGGCCAGCAGCAGATGCGGAATCCGCTGCCCCCGCCGAGCAAGAGCCTCGTCCGGAACCAGCACCTGAACCTCTACACCTCGCAGGGCTATGCGGACGCTGGCCACCCAGCGGGAGGAGCACCAAGCGGAGGAGCGGCAGGAGGAAGCACCTGCAGCAGTCTCTTCTTTGGCAGCTCAAGTGCCTGCGGATCCACGACAGCCCTCCTCTCCGGCGACGCCCCCGTCTACCCCATAGTGGAGCATTCGGAGAGCGAGAAGATCGGCCACGAGGAGCAGCAGCAGCCAGGACATGTGCATCGGCATCGGCAGGAGAATGGCCATGGGCATGGCCATGGCAACGATAATGCCGAATGCGATGACGACGAGCTGGACGACGTGCCAATTAGGCGACGGACCCGCGCCCTCGGCTGCAGCCAGACCCACCGCAGCGCCGAGTCGGATGTGGGCGGGATCCTGGCGGACGACGATGATGATGTCTTCAAGGACTTCGACGACAACCTGGAGCACATACTCACGGAGCTGCAGCAGACGCACAGCCAGCTGGACGATCACCTCAAGGGCTGCGACATCTCTGCCTCTGCCTCTGGCTCCTCCTCCTCGCAGCACCACCAGCACCATCATCACCATCACCACCATTTCCACCGTAAACTGGCTCCAGCGGAGGGACTGGGAATGGGACTGGGATTGGCGTGTAGGAGCAGGAGCCACTGCTGGCGACGACGAGGACGAGGAGACGGACAACAACACGGGCTCCCGGTCGCCGCTGCTCAGCGAGCGCAACCGGCAGCAGGCCACGCTGCGGGAGATCGTGGCGGACAAGATTCTGCGCCAAGAGCTCACCCAGCCCGGTGGGGGCACCTCCTCCTCTCCGCCTCCGCCTCTGGATGTGCGACGTCGTTGGGGCATCTGTCGGCGGCTCAGGGCCATCCAGCCCATCCGCCTCCGCATCCAGCCGGCCAGCCCATGCCCATACGCAGCGAGGCGGACTCGGGCTGTCCCTCCAGCGACTGCGAGCAGGTGAGTGCCAGCTCGAAGGACCAGCTGCTGGCCGGCATGGGCATGGAGCATCATCAGCAGGCGAGTGTCCTGGAGCTGGACGAGGAGCAGCCCTGCACCTCGAAGATGGCGGCCAAGAGCCTGGGGGCCATACCCAAGGTGGTCAAGTACCGGGAGGTGGACGAGCTGCGACGCCGCCGCCTCGTGGGACTGGGCCTGGGACTGGGGTCGGAGCAACACGACGCCGCGGGCCCGATGGCCGGCAACGAGCCAACGATGTCCCTGGTCAAGTCGCAGTCGAAGCTGCAGGCGGCCGCCGCCTCGCGCAACTCCTCCTCATCGAACTCGACGCACAGCATCAGCCTGACGGACAGCCTCACGGCGGACATCCACAAGATGCTCTGGCTGATGCACGGCGGGGCTGTGGACGAGCGCGGGCGGCCCATCGCGGGCATCTCCTCGGACGGCACCCCCATCCCGGCCAGCAGCAGCCTCGTGCCGCCGAACATGTCCAGCGCCCACTTTCAGTTCTACCAGGACGCCATCCAGGCCCTCCAGGGCACCTACCCGGCGGCCAGCTCCGTGGAGCACATGACCCACATCGAGCGGGCCCTCGCGCGCGACAAGCTGCGGCTGGACGCGAAGCTCATGTGCGAGCAGCTGGCGGCCGCCGCCGAGGCCAACTCCAACACGCACTCGCACTCCCACTCGCAGGTGACCAACGCCTCCTCCTCGTGCAGCTCGCAGCCGCTGCCGCTGCCGCAGCCGCAGCCCGGCACCACCCTGGGCATGCTCATGGGCGGCGGCCCCTCCTCGCGGCACGCCTCCACCACCGCCTTCTCCGTGCAGGGGCTGATCAACGTGATCCGGAGCGATGCGCTCCAGCAGTTGCACGACGCCGTCGCGGCCAATGCCAGCCTCCACGAAGCTGCCTCTGGAGTGGGCGCATCTGGCGGCGGCGGCATGGGAGGAGGAGGAGGAGGTGGCGGAGGCGGCGGCGCAGGTGGTGGCGGCGGTGTGCTCCAGGCCCTGGGCCTGTCCAACCACCCCAGCAACCAGATCAGCCACATCGGCCACATGAGCCAGCCGATGCTGAACGTGGACGGGCACTTTGCGCCCTACTGCGACTACTGGCGGCCCGCCTGCCTGCTGTCCGCGGCGGAGAAGCCGGCTGCCCCGAAGAGCTTCTACAAGTACCGCTTCAATTGGTTCGGCCAGGAGCGCGAGTTCAAGATCGCCATGGACCGGCTGGAGCTGCTGGCGCTCTTCGACCGCGACCTCCACTGGCTGCACGTGCTCCTGGCCAGCGTGCTGTGCACCCTGGTCGCCTGCCTGGGGGCGGCCATCCTCCAGCACGACCACTACAAGGATCTGTGCGCCCTGCTCTTCTGCTCGGTGATCGCTGGCGCCCAGTACTCGCTCGTGAAGAGCGTCCAGCCGGACGCGGCCTCGCCGGTTCACGGCTTCAACAAGACGGTGGCCTACTCCCGCGCCATCTACTTCTGCCTGTGCGGGGGCCTGCTGCTGCTGCTGAAGCGCCTCGACACGGACTACGTCGCGCGGCCGCCCGACCCGCTCACCTTCTTCGGGGTCCACTACTCGCCCGCGGACCTGGTCGGGCTGCTGCTGCAGACGCTGTACGTCCTGCTGCTGTGCTTCCCCATCATCTTCTCGGTGGGGCTGTGCCCCCAAATCAACACCTTCCTCATGTACCTCCTGGAGCAGGTCGACATGCACGTCTTTGGCGGGAATGCGGCCAGCAGTCTGCTCGGTAAGTAGCCCCCACCCTACCCCTACCCCTAGCCCCGCTCTCACTTTAATCCTCTCTTATTCAAGGTTCCTTTCTGTGCGTCGTGCGCTCCGTCCTGGCCCTCATGCTCCTGTACGGACCCCTGTACGGGGCGCTGGACGAGCAGCGCGGCACCCAGTACATCCTGTTCTCGATATTCTGCGCCATGCTCATCCCCCTGGGCTACCATCTGTCGCGCTGCGCCAGCGACTTCAGCCACCTGTGGCGCCTCATCAAGACCTGCATCGTCAGCACGTATCGCGATGACGACGACGACGACGATGACGAGCAGCAGCCGGAGGAGCAGGAGCTGAGCCATGTCCACACTGCTGCGCCCAATGCTGCGCCCACTGCTGGCACCGCCACCGCCACCGCCATCCAGCTGCCCACCAGCACACCCAAGCGGAAGAGACAGCAAGCGGAGGACAAAGCAAAGGCAAGGGAGGAGGAGCCGCCGCACGAGGAGCAGTTCGAGCTGAGCACGCTTGACAAGCAGCCGGATGAGGCGGATGATCCGCAGCAGCAACAGCAGCAGCAGGAGCTGGATGAGGAGCAGGAGCAGGAGCAGGAAATGCAGAGCAAGTCGAAGGCCTCCTCACTGGGCAGCAGCCAGCAGATCGGGAGCAGCAGCAAGCGGGCCATCACCGCTTCCAGTTCGTGTGCCTCGATAGCACAAGGCGAGGCCGGCAACGAGGCGGAGACAGAGGCAGATGCAGCTCCTAGGGAAGGCCTTCAGCAGCAGCAGCAGCAGCAGCAGGATCAGGATCAAGATATGCCCCAGCAGGAGCATGAAATGAGGGACTCGCAGTGCCACGAGCCAAAGCTTGCCACAGCGGAGGAGGCCGAGGACAAAATGTCTTCATCGTCGGCCACCAATCCCGCAGACATGTCCACCCTGACCGCTGGGGCTGGCACGGCGACGGGCAGGGAAGTGGAGGGAGAGGATGCTGAGGATGGAGACCACCAGACGACGACACATGGCGAGGGGAAGCACCAGCAGCAGCAGCAGCAGCAGGAGCAGCAGCAACCCACCAACTGCAACACGGAGGCCAGCGACAGGAGCAGCAGCAGCAGCGGCGGCGGCCGGAGCAACAGCAGCGGAAGTGGCAGTGGCAGCGGCAGTGGCAGCGGGAACGACCTGCCCGATCCGCTGCCAAGGAAGCTGCAGGCGACGGTGACGACGCGACTGAAGAACGACCTGGTCGTGATGACGCTGCTGGGGGTCAGTGTCCTGGGGCTGCACTGCAGCACCGTGTTCACGGTGCTCCAGCCGGACCTCAACGTGGTGCTGTACGTGTTCATCGGCGTGCTGGGCTTCCTGCTCCACTACGCCGTGCCCCAGATGCGCAAGCACATGCCCTGGCTCTGCTTCGCCCGCCCTCTGCTTCGGCAGCGGGAGTTCGGCCAGTTCGAGGTGACCAATGCCCCGAAGATCATGTGGTTCGAGAAGCTCTACATCTACCTGAGTGTGCTCGAGCGCAATGTGCTCTTCCCCCTGCTGGCCATCTCCTCGCTCACCGCCGACTCCCAGCTGATTGTCGAGAAGTTCGGCCTGCCCTGGGGCACCCTCATCGTCTCCATTTGCGCCCTAAAATGTGAGTACTCCCATCCTCCATTCTCCGTGCATCATCCATCTCTCTCTAATCTGTGTGTCTCTCTCTCCCTCTCTCTCCCCCCTTTGTAGTTGTGAGGAACGCGTACTCGGATCCGACAAACCAATACCTGATCATCATCTTCACGGTGCTGCTGTTCCGCATTGACTTTGCCATGGCCACAGAGACCTTCATCATCGACTACTTCTTCGTGTCGCTGGCCTTCCGCAAGTGCTGTGACTTTCTGCTAAAGGTGAGAGCAGCAAGGGAAGGAGAAACCTTAACCTTAACCTCTTAACCTTAACTGCCTCCCTCTCTTTTTGTTCTGTTGGGCTTGCAGCTGCAGTTCATTGTCACCTACATCGCGCCCTGGCAGATAACGTGGGGCTCTGCGTTCCACGCCTTCGCCCAGCCATTCAGTGTGCCCCACTCGGCGATGCTCTTCCTGCAGGCGGGCATCTCGGCGCTGCTGTCGACGCCGCTCAATCCGTTCCTGGGCAGCGCCATCTTCCTCACCTCGTACGTGCGCCCGATCAAGTTCTGGGAGCGGGACTACAACACGCGCCGCATCGACCACTCCAACACGCGGCTCAGCTCGCAGCTGGAGCGCGACCTGGGGGCGGACGACAACAATCTGAACAGCATCTTCTACGAGCACCTCACCCGCTCCCTGCAGCACTCCCTCTGCGGGGACCTGCTCATGGGTCGCTGGGGGAATGTCAATCAAGGCGATTGTTTCGGTAAGTGGCCCCCGTGTCCCCGTGCCCCCGTGCCCCCGCTCTCCTCTCTCTCTAACTGGAATCTCTGTGGCCCTTTGCAGTGCTCGCCTCGGATGATCTCAACTGTCTGGTGCACATCATCGAGCTGGGCAACGGCCTGTGCACGTTCCAGATGCGCGGACTGGAGTTCCGGGGCACCTACTGCCAGCAGCGGGAGGTGGAGGCCATCACCGAGGATGTGGAGGACAACGACGGCTGCTGCTGCTGCGACCCCGGCCACCTGCCGCGCCTGCTCAGCGCCAACGCCATGTTCTCGACCCGCTGGCTCGCGTGGCAGGTGGTCGCCGCCCAGTACGTCATCGAGGGCTACTCCATATCGGACAACCTGGCCAGCGCCACCCTCCAGGTGTTCGAGTACCGCAAGGTGCTCATCACCTACTACATCAAGAGCATCATCTACTACGTGGTGCGGAACCCCAAGCTGGAGCAGTGGCTGGCCTCGGGCCCCATCCAGGACGCGCTGCAGCACACGCTGGGCCGCCAGTTCGTCGACCTCGATCCCGTCTTCAACTTCAACCTGGACGAGGACTTTGACTTCCGCGCCGTCGGCATCACGCGCTCCAGCTTCTGCTACGTGTACCTCAAGTGGATCAACTACTGCGTGGACATGCGCCGAGATGCGGCCACCGCCTCCTCCTCCTCCATGGCCACACCAGCAACAGCAGCAGCCCCAGCAGCAGCAGCCGCAGCAGCGGCGCCCCCGCCAACCACCCCTGCAGCTGCAGCGCAGGCAGTCCCTCAGCATCCGCATCAGCCACAGCCACAGACTCAGGCCAACTCAACGCCCGCCCACAACGACTCGAAGAGCACGCCGAATCTCTCCTCGCACGGGGGCTCTGCGGGAACGGGCCCCGGCCAGTCCAAGTCGCAGTCCCAGCAGCAGCTGCGCAGCGGCGGAGGAAGGACCCAGACACAGGCCCAGTCGCAGTCCCAGTCGCAGTCCCAGTCCCAGAAAAGTGCCAACCAGGACGCAGGTGGCGGTGCAAGTGGAGCAAGTGCCGCGGGAGCGGGAGCGGGTGCGGGAGTGGTTGCTGGCGGGGATCAGCTGAGCGGATCGCACAGCTTTGCCAACATCTCGCGCCAGACCTCGGAGAGTGCGCCCGGGCTCGGCGGCTACGTCACCTACAGGGACCAGAACGTGTTCGTGAAGCTGGCCAAGGCGACGACCACGAGCACGAGCACGACCACCGCCGCAGTGACGCCTGGCACCGGACTCCAGGGACCAGGAGGCGCCACCTGCATCATGACGACGCCCAGCGGCAAGACGCTGCGCAAGGAGGAGCTAGCGACGACGGCAGAGAGGGAGCGGGAGAGAGAGAGGCCGGTCCCTCCGCTGAAAGTGAAGCTGGCCAGCGTGGGCAAGGACGCGCCGCTGGTGTCCCTGTGCCTGGCGCTGGGCCTGCTGGCCCGCCGCTCCCTGGCCACCGCCTCGCACAGCTCCATGTCGGGGGTGGAGTTCTTTCTGCACGGCCTGCACGCCCTGTTCAAGGGCGACTTCCGGATCACGTCGCCGCGCGACGAGTGGGTCTTCGCGGACATGGAGCTGCTGCACTCGGTGGTGGCGCCGGCGGTGAAGATGGCGCTCAAGCTGCAGCAGGACCACATCACGAACCCGGACGAGTTCCTCGACCCGCACGCCCTCTACGAGGCCATCGACAACTGCTCCAAGGAGCTGGTGATCTCGCACGAGGCGGATCCGGTGTGGCGCAGCGCCGTGCTGCGCGGCGCGCCCAACCTGCTGGCCCTGCGCCACGTGATGGAGGACGGCTCGGACGAGTACCGCATCATCCGGCTGACGAAGCGCTTCCTCAGCTTCCGCGTGATCAAGCTGAACCGCGAGTGCGTCCGCGGCCTGTGGGCGGGCCAGCAGCAGGAGCTGATCTACCTGCGCAACCGCAACCCAGAGCGGGGCAGCATACAGAACGCCAAGCAGGCCCTGCGCAACATCATCAACTCGAGCTGCGACCAGCCCATCGGCTACCCCATCTACGTGTCGCCCCTGACCACCTCCTACGCGGACACCAACGCCCAGCTCTGCCAGATCATCGGCGGGGCCATCACGCTGGAGACCATCCGGCAGACGGTCCTCGGCTGGTGGCACCGCATCCGCGAGCGGTGCCGCCAAGGCTGCAGCTCCGGCTCGGCCCTCGAGCAGAACTCTGCCCAGCAGCAGCAGCAGCTGCAGCAACAGCAGCAGCAGAATCCCCTCCAGATGGGGGCCACCTGCAACTTTGGGAGCGGAGGCAGCGTGGTGGGTGCCACCTCAACGGCCACTGCCGTGGGAGCTTCCGCCGGATCCGGTGTGGGTGTGGGTGTGGGCGTGGGACTGGGTGTGGCTGCTCCTGGCACCGCCAGCAGCACGGGCGGCGAGTCCGGAGAGCTGGCGCCCGTCTTCATCTCTGCCCCGCTGTACAACACCCTCACCGTGAACAGCTACTACGGCGTCCGCTCCGGCAACGGGCTGCCGGGCTCCCTCGCCACCCACAACGGCAGCTACGTGAGCGACAGCCTGGCGGTGGTGCGCGGCGGCCTGGCCGTGATGCCCGTCAAGCCCACCTCGACCACCCTCATTGCGGGCCTGCTGAACCGGGAACGCGACCAGGAAACGGCAGCGACAGCCACCTCCAGCTCGGGATCGGGCTCGGGCTCTGGCTTGGGCCTGGGCCTGGGCTCCACCATCGGCACCAGCATCAGGGCCAGCAGCAGCAGCAGCAGGGGTGCGCGGCAGGAGCCAGCTCCAGCAGATGGGAACCAGCAGCAGCAGCAGCAGCAGGGGCAGGGATCACGAGCGAAGGGCCACCCTGCCCATAGCCAGTGGCGAAGGACCAGCGGGAGGATCGGAGGCGGGCAAGGAGCTGGCCATGCCACACACGCAGCTGGACCACGAGCCGAGTCCGCGCAGCGGCAAGCTGTCCTCTTCCTCGGGCAGCCTTGGACTGGCCATAGGCAACATCATAACCACGCCGGGGGACTATCCCCGCAAGACGAAGGGCCCCATCTGCCTCACCTCTGCGCCGCTGAACGTTCCCGAGTCGGGAACGGCACCTACTGCGGTACCAGCACCTGGAGTGGGAGTGGGAGTTGCACCAGCTGCTGGAACCGGAACGGCTACTGGTACGGGAGCGGCAACGGGAACGGGACCATTGGCCATTGGATCCGGGCAGACTCGGAAGCCGCGCATAGAGATCTTCAAGAAGGTGATCATAGTGGACGAAACGGGGGTAAGTGAGGGACAGCGGCGGGGTGGCAGGGGGTGCAGGTGCGTACTGTACTGATCTCCAATCCCCTTTGCAGATCTACGACTGTCTGGACGTGGTTGGAGCCGTCGTGTGGCCGAGCGAACTGATGCGCAACAATGGGGGCCGCCTCTCGTGGAAGGACTGGGAGCCCAGTGCAGGGATGGTGGGCCATGTGGTCCACTGCTGGGCGCCCAACCACAAGGACGTGCGCTTCCGCTCGCACGTGAACCGCTGCGTGTACCTCGTCGAGATCGGGGAGCACTACGTGCCCGTCGAGGAGCTGGGCCTGCGGGAGTACAACCAGATAGTGAGCAGCTCCGATGAGATGGCCAACTCGCGGCGCAGCTCCATCCAGCGCGAGTTCCACGAGTACAACATGCTGCTGAAGCTCTCCGGGTTCACCCCCATCATCAGAGGGCGTTCGTCTTCGTCGGCCGGTGCAGGTGCCGGAGCAGGGACAGCAGCAGCAGGGACAGCAGCAGGAGCAGGTGCATGTGACTCCTCCAGCAAGTCGCACAAGGCCAAAATCCGTGCCGTGAGCAGCAGCAGCTCCGAGGACGAGAGCACGCCCTCCGCATCCGGCCGTGGCCTGCCTGGCCTCGGTCCTGGGCCAGCCACCGGACCCCACTCCGCCATCGACCTGATGAACTTCAACACCCTCCTGAGCATGTGGAAGCTCATGGCAGACAAGCGGAAGCAGGCGGCAGCTGCCGGCTCTGGGTCCACGGTACCGGACGCCTTCGAGGGATTCGATTACGTTGGAGAGCTGTCGCCGGAACTGCTCCAGAAGCTGGACGAGGCAGCCGCGGCCCAGGAGCACCAAGAACAGGAGGACGCTGATCAAGTCCAGGCCCAGGCCCAGGCGCAAGAGGAGCCGCCGCAGGGGATGGAGGAACATGCCGACCAACCTGATAGGGAACTGGATGAGCCGGATGTGGCGAAACTGGAACTGGGAGGAGGTGACTGTGGAAAAGCCAGAGGAGGAGATGCCACCCAGTGGCACACCCTCCTCACCTTCCACAACAGCCTCTCCTGCCTCAAGCCCTGCACCTGCCCCGGCCACTGCCCCAGCCCCAGCCGCAGCCACTGCCACAGAAAGGGGCACAGAGGAAAGCGAAGAAGAAGAGGAAGAAGCGAAGAGGAGTCCCAGCCCACAAAAGGAGTCGGTGGACAATGCGGAGACGAAGGCGGCACAGTCGGAGGAGCCAAAGAGAGAAGAGAATGAAATGGAGTTGGAGTTGGAGATGGAGATGGATAACGGGAACGGGACAACAGTCTAAGGGATGCACCAAGGATCGTGGACACACATGACTATACATACATATATCTATAAAGATTTGCATTTGTTTGCCAAGCAGACACGACCCCTCCCCCCACACAGACACTCCCTTAATACATATCAGAGGGAGAGAGAGAGAGAGAGAGAGTGTGTGTGTGTGTGTGTGTGGAATTTGGAGCCAGGAGCAAGGAGCAAGAGTCCCAGCAATCGATGCGACAACGTCAACAGCAACAGAAACAACAACAATTGAGAAGCACTTCCAAGAAATCAAAGTAAAGTTTATAAAACGACTGCGTTTAGTGTAATTATGGTTAACGGTTACCGATATCGAGTGTATATATATATATATATATATAGTATGTATTCTTCATATTTGATATATACAACAACTATACATATATACATAGATATAGATAGATAGATAGATAGATAGATAGATAGATAGAGTACATATGCATGTATGTGTATGCCCACTATATAGATAGAATATAGATATATATTATATATATATATATATATGTATAATGTGTAGATAGGATCAGGGACAGGGAGAGAGAGAGTGAGATTCATGGGCGTGTATCCCATGTATCCCCCCTTGTATCCTGTGTGTATATACAAAGGTTTGATTAGCTTTTTCACCAACATCTCTATTTAACCCTAGATATGCTTATGTGTACTACTACTATACCTACATGTGTATGTATATGGTATATATGTATGCACAAACAAATTTACAATAATTATGATTATGAATTATTAACTAGAAATTATTAAGAGCATAAGAGGAGGGATGGAAAGGAATGGAAAGGAAAGGAAAGGATGTAGCAGTGGCAGGAGTAACAATAATTCTATAGAAATACCAACAAACAATTACATTTTTAGTATTACCGAACAAGTTATATAGAACATATACCCTAAACATATACATACTATATTCAATATATATATATATATATATACATACAAATAGCAAAAACAAAAACAACAAACACACAAAAGAGAAGAGCGCAAATGTGGAAGAGGCAGAGGCAGAGACCGAGGCATTGGGAAGATTGAAGATCTTTGCCTGAAATTGAATCAGTTTCTAAGAAATATTTAACTAATAATTGTTATAGCCCCAAAAACAAAAACCAAATGCTTCTCATACATACATACATACATTCATACTCGTGTACATACATACGAGTATGTATGTTTTTTTTTTATATATTTTTGTTGTTGTTCTTCTCCCCTTTGCTAGCCAATATATACTTCATACAGATATTAAGCAAAACTAAACAAAGAATTTATATATATATAAAAAATACATACACATAATATGCATAAATATAGTTTAAACTTGAATGTTAAAGAACTTCCCCCTCCCCATCACACTCCATACACACCCACACACACACACACAAAGCGTACCAAAATAGATAGAAGAGAAGATCATCCCAAATACAAACTAAGGAAACCACTGAGCATAGATGGAGCTGGAATCATGGATGAAGTGCAGTGAAGTGAAGTGAAGCGATTCGAGTTACAAGACCACATAGTAAATATATACATACATATGTATAGCGAACAAAACACACACACACACAACTCCTAGGTGTAAGTAAGCGTCGAGGCGGTAGCAAGCAAGGAGTAGTAAGTAGGTGGGGTAGGTGGTAGGAGGAGAAAGTGGACAGTGGAATGAAAGCTCTCACGTTGCCTTAATATATTAGACTGATTTTTTCTACACACCGCATATGTGTATGTAGATTTGTATATATAAATGTAGTATGTGTGTGTGTGTGTAACCAGAATAACCCTTGAAAGTTTCGCTCCTACTCATATCTCTAGCCTCCTTCTGGAGGATGATGATGATGATGGATGGGATGGCGGATGATGGCATCTGTATATAATAATAACCATAAGTTGTACCTACATATATATATATTTATATACGTGTATATGTATGTCTGTATGTTGTATAGCAAACGGAAGGAAGCCTGAAACTTGAACATGAAACACCTACTGATTGATGATCGATGATCGATGATTACCGATTAAAGGGGATTAATTACAATTACAAATTAAATTATACTAGCCAATGGAAGAATGAAACACTCACTCTTATCTATATTATATTACACCTAAATACATACATACATAGTATATGTAAATATATATCCACTATACACATATAATATATATCATCAACTAGGGCAGAGCTTTGGGCACAGCAATCGCAGAATCCTAAACCCAATTCCAGCCGAAGAGATCCGTAAAGAGAGAAAGGGAGAGAGAGAGAGAGAGATCTTGTACCTGTAAATAGTGAGTGGAGTGGAGTGGAGCAAAGTGAACAAAGTTAACGTTTCTCAGCCAAATTCTGAATTGATCGATCGATATACGATATTCGATATCCGATCCGCATGGATGTGGATGCATAGAGATGCACTACTACATGGATGTGTAACCCTAATCAATTAGCCAAATCTCTTGCAGACACCCAACAAAATACAAAAAAAAAAAACAAATACGAACACAGAGTGAATATTTCTATATACACATGCATACATACGTACATACCTAGTATATATGTACTACATACTGGCATATGTATGAAAATGGATTATATTCCCCCATTCCTCTCTCCCCCCCCCCCCCTCACAACCCATTACAGTTTTTTTTTTAGTTTCATTTAAAATAAATTTCATATTTATGTATATAATATACACAAAACTATACATATATGGTATATATATATGTACATCAATTAAATAAATAAAATATAATGAAACTTGTTATACAAAACAGCCCATTCTCTCGTCTGTTCTCAGGTGGTTGGCAGGGGCTGTGGCTGTGGCTGGGCCTGGGCCTGGGGCAGTGGTGGCCACAGGGAAGTCAGTTCGCTCAGGGCCACATCGTACAGCAGGCCGTGGTACTCCTCCAACAGGACTGGAAGTACACAAAGGAATTAGCGAAATGCATTTATTGGCATCTGACATCCTGCAGAGGCTGCTACTCACAGTTCGGATCCCGCGCCCAGTGCTCGTGCAGGGCCTGGCGGGTGTGGATCTCCTTGTTGATGAGGGCGCGCTTGAAGCGCAGCACCTTGTCGTTGAGGTTGGACCAGCTCTTGATGAGTGTGGCGGGCGTGACCCTCAGCTTGCCCTTGAACTCGGCCAGCCGGGGACAGATGTCACCCGCCAGCAGGAACATGCCAAAGTAACTGCGGGGACATATCTCGGTTAATATCTGGGGGAAATTCTGGATGGACGGGACAGCAGGAGGGACACTCACCAGCAGGCTTTCTCGCTGAGCGGCATCTCGATCTCGCATAGAGGGAGCGGCCAGCCAGCCTTGCCGAACGTGGCCTCCACGAAGCAGAAGAGCTTGCCCGACGAGGACTCGAAGCGCGGCGGCGGATCGTCGCGCACCTCGCGCATGTTGCACAGCAGAGGGACATAGAGGAGCAGCCATTCCGGCTCGATGGCGGTGATGCCGCGCAGGAACATCTTCTCGGAGTCATCATGCCGCAGCTCGTACGCCTCCTGGTAGATGATCCACTCGGGCGTCTTCTGCTTGAGCACGGAGGAGGCGTGCAGGAAGGCGGGATCGACCATGTCGGCGCAGTTGTAGGCGTACTTCAGCCGTCGCCGTTCCTCCTTGTCGGGGATCTCGGCCAGCGGCATCTTGCGCGCCACTCGATCCCCCATGCCCGCCAGCAGTATCTGGCGAAGAAAGCGGGCCTGCGCATCGCTGGGCGGCTTCAGCTGGGGATCCACGCTCAGCTCCACCCCGCTGACGTTCAGGTTGATCTCGTTGGTCAGCTGGACGCGCAGCTTGCGCACCTCGCTGATCGCCTTTTGGCGCAGTCCGTTGGTGGCGCAGAACTCGGGCAGCTGGCCCCTCGAGCCGGCATACTCTGCCGCTCCCACAGCCCGCAGGAGGACCATGGGATCTCCGAGCAGCTGGAAGTTGCCGCTGGCCGCCCAGCGCTGGCGCTTTTCGTGGAACTTGTTAGCCCTGGGGGCCACGTCCTCGGTCCGCTGCACGCCCGTCTCCTGCAGCACCTCCTGCACGGACAGTGCGGCCACCAGGCACACGGTGTAGGGCAGCAGGCCTTGCTGGTGGGAGAGGGCCAGCATCTTGCCGAAGCGCGGGGCCACCGGGAAGCGGGAGATGATCTTTCCCAGCGGAGTCACTGCCGGAGGCAGATCCTTGGCGTCGCCGGGCGAGCCCTTCAGGGCGCCCAGGACAGTGAGACGCTGCTCGGCGGCTTGCAGCTGGATGTGGTCGGGCGGCGTGGGGAAGGGGAAGTGGACGACGCGGTCGATGCCCATGGCGCGCATCTGCAGCATCAGGTCGTCGACGGGCTTCTGCTGGATATCCGGCAGGCCGAATTCCATGAACTGGTGCTCGAACACGGAGCTGGAGTACAGCCGGTAGCAGTGGCCGGCGCTGATGCGGCCCGCCCTGCCAGCCCGCTGCTCCGCCGAGGCCTTGGACGTGTAGGTGACCACGAAGGCGCTGACGCCGGTCAGCTTGTCGTAGAGTCGCGTCTTCTGGCGGCCGCAGTCTACGACGTATTTGACGTGGGGAATGGTCAGCGAGGTCTCGGCCACATTCGTGCTGACCACGCACAGGCGGCAGCCCTCGGGCACGGGCTGGAAGATTCGGTTCTGCTTCTCCGAGGAGAGCAGCGAGTAGAGGGGCAGCACCCAGAGCGGCTGCTTCGGGCCGGAGGGCATGCCGGACGCCTCTGCGACTCCCAGTCCGTCGTCGTCATCCTGGTCCTCTGCGGACAGGGCACCCTCCTCGTCATCCCAGTCGTGATCCGAGTCCCCCTGCTCGTGCATGTCCGCCTCGGTGTCGTCGCCGGGCAGCTTGTAGTCGTCCAGGTTGATCTTCGGCAGCGACATCTGCGCGAGGAACTTCTTCTTGGACTTTCGGATATTGCGGATCACACGCTTCATATCGAACTCCAGCTCCAGCTCCTTGGGCTGGTCCTCCCCAGATTCGTCTTGTAGCTGCTCCTTTGCCGCTGTCTGGCCTTGGGTTGTGGGGGGACGATAGGGGAAAGTGCGGCGCAGCTTGCGCACGAGCTGATTGACCTCCTGCTGGCCAGTCACGAAGATGAGGATGCCGCCCTCGGGCAGCTGGTTGTGTATCTTCAGGGCCTTGCGGTATGCCTCCGCCACGTAGTCGTCGGGGGTGCGCTTCTGGAAGTGGATGGTCACGGGGAACTGGCGGCACTCCACGTTGATCAGCGGCGGGGGCTGCTTGAACAGCCGCGTGTTCTCGGTGAAGTCGCTCACGCGGAGCGTGGCAGACATGATTATGAGCTTCAGGGGACTGCCGCGCTTGTGGCGCAGGGGAACTATGCGCGACAGCAGCCCCACGAGGATGTCCGTGTAGATGCTGCGCTCGTGCGCCTCGTCCAGGATAATCACCGAGTACTTGTTGAGCAGGAAGTCGCTCTCGATCTCCTTCATCAGGACGCCGTCCGTCATGAACTTGATGCGCGTGGCCGGACTCACGTTGCCCTCGAAACGGATGAGGTAGGACACCTCGCGCTCGGACAGATTCATCTCGTGGGCCACACGCTTCGACATGGCTATGGCGGCCACGCGCCGCGGCTCAGTCACGCCGATCATCTTGTGCTGGGCATAGCCCGCCTCGTACAGGAACTGCGGCAGCTGGGTCGTCTTTCCGGAGCCCGTTGCACCGGCTACAATCACAATGGGATTCTCGTTGATCGTCTCCATCACCTGCTGCTCCTCCGCGAGGATGGGCAAGCGCAGACGCGCCTCCTGCACTTTGTCCAAGCGGTTCACGGGCACGTAAACTGTTTGATGGGTGCATTTAGGTGTGGCAGGAACAGCAACGGGTTTCGGGCCTTCTCTCTTGGGTGTGCTCACCGGTACGGGAATGGGCACTGTTTCCGATGGAGTGGGGCCACCTGCAGGCTCTGATGGAGGTTCTGCTGCAGGCTCATCATCATCGTCACTCGAAGAGGCACTCTCACTCTCCTCTTCGTCGTCTGCATTTAGGCCAACTATATTTGGATTCTTTCGCTTGGCATCAAGCTCCTCCTGCTCCTCGGTAAGCAGTTTACGCTTGGCTGCCCCCTTGATGGCATTCACACGACTTCCGGGTGTTTTCTCGGCCTGCACCTGAGCCTGCCGCTCCTTCTTCTTGGCCAAGTAGTCGTCCAGAGTTTGCAGGCGCTTCAGGCCCACCGTCTGCACCTGGCTGATGGATGTGTACTGCTGCAGCTCAGCGTCGGGTATCTGTACAGTGGCCAAATCTTCCAGCAGCTGGGCGCGCTGCAAGTGCACGGGCGGATATGTTACATTTATATTGTGGGACAGACTGTGGCATCTGTGCTTTACTCACGCCTTCCTTTTTCTTCTTCTTGTCCACAATCGCCTGCAGGTGCTTGCGCTGCTTCTTCGTCAGGATTTTCACATACTGCGCCTTCTCAACTATGGTCTTGGTGGCGCGTTTCTGTGAGGGCAGCACCAAGGCATTGGCCTCATCGTAGCCAGCACCGATGCCCCTGTCCCTGCCACCGGCCACAGAGTCCACATCTATTTGTATCTGCAAAGGTTGGTCAGTCAGCAATGCGAGTGATGTGATTTTGATGGGAATACTCGACCTTTTTAGCTGCGGAATTGTCCACAATTGTTTGTGGATTTTGCCGCGCTTTGGCATTGTGAACTTTTTTGCCCATTTTTATGACGCAGTAAACATTTATGTGTAATATATATTTTGGCTATAAGTCGAAAAGACTGGATTTATTGTTTTAATGTTCAATGTTTTTCAAACATTGAAACGAAATTTCTTGCACGTGTAGGACAATAGCTATGACACTGAACCGATAGATCGATACAAGCTTCTGGCGATAAGAACATATACTATCGATGCATGCATCGATATACATCGCAACTGCTTGTGGAATGGTTTTGTCATCACTAAATTGCTCTCAAATTCGTAACCTGTCAAAAAAGAACTGGATAAATGTTTTATTTAATTGTAAGCAGTACGTGTACTAACAAATATTAAGTGTGATCCTAACTGGGGATCGTTCCTGTGTGGCCCAGCCGCGTCCAATTCGTTTTGCTCGTTAAATGGTGTCCAAAAATAACAATCAGCAGCACCGGGCAATGTATCAAAATCAGAGCCAGCACCTGCAGTACTCTCACAATGCTCGTGCCGCCGCCGCTCCGTACAGAAAACCTTTTCGTGGGGCACCTGGGGCCGGGAGCAACGCCAATCAAATGATGTACTCATCGTGCCAGATGCCCAGCGACCCACTCTACATAGACTTCAATAGCCCCACGGCCGCACCACCGACCAAGCCTGCAGCCGGTTCAGCGACCCAGTGCCAGCCTCCTGCCCGTCCGGCTGCACAGCCCCACTCCCATACCGGTCCGGTACCCGGCAGACACCAAGCCACTGCCACTCCGACAGCCCAGCCCAAGGCCAAGGCCAATGCCAGTTCCGCCCAGTCTGCCGCCTGGGAGATGGGCAGGAAGAAGCCACTCAAGGTTAAACAGCAGCCCAAGAGCAAGCACCAACTGCCGCTGCAGCAATCCTTCCCAGGACATCTGAACGGAAATGCACACGCAAACGGAAATGGCGAAGGCAGCCACAAATGGCCTCCCAAGCAGCGATTTCATCCCCAACATCGCTTCAACGGCGGCGGTGGCGGTGGCTTTAACAGACCGCCCCCAAGCCACGGTTGTCCACACCACATGATGCCCCTCATGGGTCCGATGAGACCGGGACCGGGCCCAGGACCACGCTGCGGAGGGCCAATGCCAATGCCGCCCTTTCCACCGATGCCTTATCCGCCACAGATGGTGCCGCCCATGGCAATGCGCTGCCCCATGCCACCGATGGGAGGGCCACCGCCGCCGCCTCACTTCATGCGGCACAACGGTCGCGGTGCTCCCATGCACATGATGGGCGGTCACCCCATGCACTTGATGGGTCCTCGCATGCCGCCGCGTGGCATGGTGCCCGGGGGACCCTTCGGCGGGGGAATGAACATGAATGGGGGCCCAAACGGCGGCAGGATCAAGAAGCCGAATCCGGTGCTGATCAAGCAGGTGGTCAAGGGGAAGAGCACCATCAAGACGCTGAAGAACATGGTGAATCAGTATCCGCTGGACAAGCCCTGGGTCACGGAGCAGATCCGCGGGGAGCACGACAAAAAGGTGGACATCGAGAACCGCCTGAAGGGCAACAAGGACGACGAGCTCTTCGCCCAGTTCAAGTTGCAGCGCGATAAGTTCGTGGAGCTGTACGAGGGTGCGCGCGAGGACTATCTGAAGCAGGAGGCGGCCTCTGTTATGGCCAAGGTAAGCATCGAATTGAATACCTGCAATTGATTTTCTTAATGATTTATTAAATTCTTCTGCAGGACGCCAAATCAGACAAAGACAAAGAAAAGGAAAAAAACACAAATCCGAATCCCAATCAGAATCAGAATGCCGCCCACGATGCAGCCACTCCAAGTCTGTAGGCGGACCAACAAATGCGCAATGGAACGACTGGGAGAGCCAATCAACAATACAGCAACAGCAAAAAGAAGTCTGACAAATGAATTGAAAACGAGCCCGAAACTAAACACTGAATTTCTTCATCTCCCCATCTGGCCTCACCAAAGAGCTACGCTGCCTCTGACGGAGTGATCGAGTGCCGGAGCCGCACCGAAAGCGAGATAGAGCACGCTGCATGCAGCAAAACGATGATGATACCCGACACTACCCTACCTTACCTTACGCTGCACTGCCCGGCCCTGCCCTGCCCTGCCCAATGTTGTTGACTGTCAGGTCTCGTCTCGTCTCGTCACAATAAGTTTTTGATTGCGTCAGCGGAGTCGCATTGTCCATGAGATGAGCAATAATACGAGTACACCCAGATATACACACAGACACATACACATACACGTACACATATATTCATGCATGCATTGTACGTGTATGGCATCTGCGAGTATAGCCATATTTATTATTATTATTAATATTATTATTCCCCTCCCCCCGAAGAGCATGCTGCTGGTCGCGTGGAGCGAAAGAAACAAAACGAAACGAAACGAATTAGCGATAAAAGTAGACAGATCCCGACCCTGCCCCACCTGTCCCACTGCATGTATACCAGGAACTGAACTGAACTCCTTGATTGTATTTTTAGGTTCGCTCTTAGAAATCACAAATTAAGATCACCATGTAAATATGATTTGCGACTGAGTGCATTCACGGATTGGTCTTTAGTTTTTTCTTTGTCCTTTGTCCTTTGTTCTATGCCCCAGCCACAGTCAGAGCCCCAGTGCAGCCTTGCCCTTGTATCTTCCAATACCTACTACCTGCCCAACTAGCGATATTAGCCGTAAATGCAACCTCTTGTAAATAGACAGGCACAATTACGTGTACGTAGATCCTAACTGTTGGTTAATATTTACACATAGAGAGAACACATACCCATCCATCCATCCATCCATCCCACACGCACTGGCGTGGGCGGAACCCATAAGAAATGGTCGAAACTGTAATTGTCTCGCGCCTGTCCCTGTCCCTGTCCCTGTCACTGTCACCGTCCCCGTACCCACGATAAGGAAACGAATTCCAAGAAATAGAGATTTCAATTGAAACTGAAAACTGAAACAAAAATAACCCCACTGAGAGTTTTTCATTGGTGTGGAGGGGAGGGTGTGTGGGTGTGGGTGTGGGTGTGCCTTCCTTTTGGCCACTTTCCCAGCCACTTAGCGAACGGAACTTTTGGCCAACATTCGTAACGTAACCGGCAATTGCGTAAACAGCCATAATGACATCTGCACTTAGCCAAATTGCATGGCCACATCACACCACATCAAATATAAGCCCCGGCCGAACAGCCAGACCAAGAGTCGACCAGGAGCAGGACAACGGACAACGATGCAGCCCGGGCCTGAAAAAGAGCCCCAACTGGACACCCACAGCGCCGTGGACTATCACTGGCGGGTGTGGCAGCTGACCGGCCTGATCCGTCCGGCAGGCATCTCGAAACGCCTCTACCGGACCTACTCGATCGGGCTGAACCTGATGGTCACTCTGCTCTTTCCTCTGAGCCTGCTGGCCCGGCTCATCCTCACGCACAGCATGAAGGAGCTGTGCGAGAACCTGACCATCACCATCACGGACATAGCGGCCAACCTGAAGTTCGGGAACGTGTTCCTGGTGCGCCACCACCTGCGCGAGATCCGCTCGCTGATCCAGCAACTGGACTGCCGGGCCCAGGCGATCGGCAATCGCGACGAGCTGTGCACCCTCCTTCAGGCCGTAAGGACGGCCCGGAACACATTCCGCACCTTTGCATGGATCTTCGTGTGCGGCACCTCGCTCAGCTGCGTCCGAGTGGCCCTCGCCAGGAGCCGCCAGTTGCTCTACCCGGCATGGTTCGGGGTGGACTGGAGCGACTCGGACGAGGCGTATGTGGGGATCTACGTGTACCAGCTGTTCGCCCTGATCGTGCAGGCGGTGCAGAACTGCGCCAACGACTCGTATCCGCCGGCCTACCTCTGCCTGCTCACCGGCCACATGAGGGCCTTGGAGGTGAGGGTGGGCCGGATCGGCTGCGGATGCCGGACCGATCGCCAGAGCTACGATCAGCTGCTAGGCTGCATCCAGGACCTGACGCTCATCCACCGGATGCACACCATCATCCAGCAAATCCTGTCCGTGCCCTGCATGGCCCAGTTCGCGTGCTCCGTCGTCGTCCAGTGCACGGTGGCCATGCACTTTCTGTACGTTGCCGATGCCGACGACCGGCTGGCCATGATCCTCTCGGTCATCTTCTTCGTGGCCGTCACCCTGGAGGTGTTCGTCATCTGCTACTTCGGCGACCAGATGCGCACGCAGAGCGAGGCCCTCTGCCACGCCTTCTACGCGTGCAACTGGGTCGAGCAGCTGCCCCGCTTCAGGCGCGACCTCCTCTTCACCCTGGCCCGGGCCCAGCGACCATCGCTGATACTCGCCGGCAGCTACATCCCCCTCACCCTGGAGACCTTTAAGAGGGTACGTACTCCCGCCCCTTGGTGCTGCCCCTCATACATCCCTCATACATCCATTTATTTAACATTTAAACCCATTTACAAGGTCATGCACTTTGCCTACTCCACATTCACACTCCTGCTGAGGTCCAAGTGAGGATGCGACAACTGGAAGGGATCAAGGGAGAACACACCGGAGAGGGCACAATCCTCTTCTATAATTATCCTCAATATACACACATATTTCCAATCCTCCATCCGGCAAGTGGCAGAGTTGAGAGCAACAATTTAGGGCAGTTTCCAAGCAGTTTTGAAAATACAAATTGTAGCACCTAGCGGTATATACTTTATTTATTTACAAAACTGTAGCCTTGTAGCAGGATGAATCCTACATTGCAATAATTGTTATAATATTGTTATTAATGCAAGGCTTTATTTCTCATTGCACTTCGACCAAATAGGCAACACATTTAGAGCGAATAAAGTAAATATAAATGGCTTAGCTTATGTGTAGCTCTTAATTCGATCTTAAATTGGTGCAAAGGTTAAAATCCAAATGCAAAATTCCAAGGTATTTATTCAAACGGGATAAAAACATAAATGGTTTTCGCGGTCTACGGCTCAAATGCCGATTCAAACGAACTCTACGACTAGTTTTGAAATGTTGTGCATTGATTTCTCTTGACATTGGTTTGGAATTGTAGGCAAACATTTTTTATTTTATTTTTTTAAAATTAAGTCTCATTACATTCGCACGGGACAATACTTTCTTGGGCTAATAAAAGATAAAAACTATACCGCTAGCTGATGTTGGGCCATTTTTCTTGCATTTTTTCAGATATGAGATATGAGCTTCAAGTACTTAATTAGGTATAAAATGTATCATGAATGATCTTTCTTAACAGGAGATACTTATAATAGAAAATATGATTTTAATATTTGTTTAGATATATAAATTGATATGGCATAGTTTTCTTTCGGTCTATTTTAATAGAGAACGCTCTGAATTGATTTGCAAACATTAACAGAATTGGTCATCGTTTTGTGACTAAATACTTTTATCTGAAAGCTATATGAGAGCTGGATTCTACCCAAGGTGATTCTGCTCCTTCGTTTACAAAAATAAAATATTGGGTGGCAGAGTTATGGCAGAGATGCCCTTCGAGCTGAGAAAATTAACATCGTAATGGGCGACCAAATGAGGTCACATCAGAAATGGTGGCAAAAATTATTAAATGTATGTTTGATGATCGGCGATTTACAGTTCGGGAGTTAGCTGACTGTGTAGGCATTTCAAAAAGAGCTGTACATCGCATATTGACCGAAAAATTGGACATGAAAAAGCTATGCACAAGATGGGTGCCGCGTTTGCTCACAATCGACCCCAACGTAAGGGTGCATGTGCAGTTTAAATCCATGAATTAGGCCTCTAATTGCTCCCTCACCCACCCTGTCTTATGGATTTATGTATGTAGTCCTTAGTAAATGTTTCGTGCTTGCATATGCGACAAAGCCTAATCCTAATTTTTGGAATGGATACAAAAATGGGAAATATGCTGGAAAAGCATATAGACCTAGAGTATGATCATACTTTGAAAAACCTTTTGATCTTGTGCATTTTTAATCTTTTAATTAAGTTATATTACACACTTTGGACGGGTTTATTTTAAAAAATCCTGTGAGTTCGCACTGATGCTTCCCTTTTTATCTTATTTACAGTTTGTCTTTACCAGTAAAAGTTTCCCCATATCCCTTGCGATAAGGGTGGGGAGAGCTTTCAATATAAAGCAAGAAATAAAGTCTAGATACCTTGGAAACCAGATTGGTCGTATCTTTTGTTTTGTTTGTTTTTGAACATAAATGATTAACCCATTTGGAAAGCATGCAACAAATACAATTCAAATTGTGTTACGTTCGGTAGGCTGTATTAATTTTAGAGCAGTCCAACCACAACAGAAAACCAAAAAAATCTGCGAAACTCCAGTCGAGCATCAAAGTGCCTGATCATGCACACGAAATGTATGTGGTTTTAGCTTTCTCGTGGAGCAAAGACAACAAATGTTTTCTAACAAGAATCCTGATGCTGGCCACAGTAAAATGGCTGATCTGATAAATGAGAATAGCTTGATGGATAATGGATATGAGAAATATGGGGAACGCAAATAAATGAAATTTCATCGTTCCATCCCTTTGTTGGCGGCTCCCTCTGTTGTAGTTCTCTTGAGCGAATTGATGATCCAATTGGTTGATGATCTCCATGACTCCATGGGCGTCCATTGGGCTTATAAAGAGCTCTTGTTTATGGAGACCTCAGTAGAAAGTATACCAGCACCACATACCATATGTATGTGTACGTAGTATCAGTCAAACCAAAAAGTTTTTGCTTCGGGTATGCAAGTATAAGTATAAGATTGCCATATAACCCTAATACATAGATTGCTCTCAGTAATCCTCAGCTAAGCGTAGAACAAAGCTTGGTCTAATTTGTATGCATAACTTGAAGCGGGGTCACGTAGTTAGCTCTGTCCTGTCCTGTGGGGCTCCTTAAACTGCAATATTCCTATTAGATCCACTGGAAACTATATATATTGTTGTTCTTTTGTCTTTCCGCTTTGTAGATCGACTAATTATATCCACTACTAATTCCATTCGTCTGCCTAAAGTACTTAGACTAAGATGCCACTCGCGGAAGAAGTATCTTTCCTGCATGTACGCGACCGTTTCGGTCACACGTGTCGTGCGTCATGCGGCTGCATTCTTCAGTCTATTGGGTGGGAGAAGGTCTGCGTTTCTGCCTGGGATCCACGCGCTACAGTCTTCGGCTTGGAGCCTCTTGGGCCTAAAGAAACGAGAAGGAACGTGTGAGTCGCTTCTGGGGACGCGACTCTACTTATACCCGTACTCAGTCAGTATATACATTTTTGAGCTTATGATTTTAAAGAATTTTAGAAAAAAAAAAATTTTACATTTTACATTTTTTTGCTACATATGCTATCTACATCTACATATACAATGTATATTCTACATCTAACATGTAGATTGTACATGTTCCAATTAGATTCTACATCTCCTCCGCTAGGGGTTGCTCGCGCACTGAACGCGGCAGAGTGTGCGAGCGAGAAGAAAAATGAGTTGCGTTGTCGATTGTGGAAAGGAGGGGGAGGGGAAGCAACTGAAAATTAATTTCTTCATTCTGGCTATAATTATGATCCGATCTGATTCAGATTCGGCAATCTGGTAGATATGGGCATTCTCTACGATACTGCGGTTTTAGTTTTATCGTATCTTTAAAACTGTGCCTGCCACAGATTTTCGTCCTTTGTGGGGGCGGAAGGGGGCGGGGCGAAATTTTGAAATACACTTGTAGCAGTGTGATATCACATGAGTCTGGAAACCAAATTTGGTTTCTCTAGCTCTTATAGTCTCTGAGATCCAGGCGCTCATCAAGACGGACGGACGGACAGACGGACGGACATGGCTATATAGACTCGGCTATTGATGCTGATCAAGAATATATATACTTTATGGGGTCGGAAACGTTTCCTTCTCTGCGTTGCACACATCCACTTTTACCACAAATCTAATATACCCATTAACTCTTTTTGAGTACGGGTATAAAAATACGTACAGATGTGTACATAGTACAGATAATAAGTTTGGCAATGCCTCCTTTGCATTGAAAGCATCTGGGGAAAAATGACAATAAACTCGGCAAGGCAATGGAGCAATAAGAGCTTGAGTATCCCCGCATGGCCGTGGTACCACGACTTGGACATATCCATAAACCCACCAGCACCACACAATAACAAAGAATCAGATGCCTGTGTGGGTTAGATGCTCTCCATATGGAAGAGGTTGAACTTTAATGCAAAGTGGAATTAGGGGAAAGGAAAAGAAAATAAATATCAGCCTTCCTCCTGCGTTACTTCGGCAGGGGCAGGTACTGGATCTTCGTCGGGCACGTCCTTCTGTTTCTTCCACATCTTGGCAGCGGCCAGGAGCTTGAGGTTGGGTCGCGCCATTTCGTCCTCGGGGAAAATGTAGTCAAAGACTTCCTCCCAGCCCTCCTCTACGCCATCGTCGGAGACGATCTTCTGTCGCTTCTTGATGCGACGCGGCATCTTTTCGAGCACCTTCTGCAGGCACTGGCCATCGTTGGCATCCCGCTCGAAGTCGCGCCAGGCCTCCAGCAGAAGGACGCGCGACTCCTTGTCGCCCAGCTGGCGGAGCATATCGTTGGCCCGCTCATAGACGCGGCGTGCGAGGCGCACATTGAGCCCGGCATCGGTCCCGTTGTCGCCGTGGTTGAGGCCCATCTCGAACTTGGCAAACGACATCCAGACCTTGACGTGCTGAGTGCGTTCCAGGAGACGCTCGTACAGCTGGCGCGCCAGCTCCGTTTCGCCAAGGGCCACCTCGAAGTCGATGAAGGCCTTCCAAAGCAGCTCCGGCATGTCGAGACGAGGCTGATGAACTGCCAGCTCGAAGATGGCCCTCGCCCGCTCCGTGTCTCCCAGGAGGTTCTCCAGCTCGGCGAATTTCATCCAGGTGACGCAGTTCTCCGGTCCGAATTCGAGGAACTTCTCGTAGAGCAGGCGACAGCGCTCGAATTCTCGCAGCTGGATCTCCAGATCGATGTAGCCCCGGAACAGCTTGTCCCGGGGACACATACCGATGGCGAAGCCGAGCGTCTTGCGGGCCCTCTGCAGCTCCTTGCAACGGATCTCGAATTGGGCGTAGAGCAGCCAGACCTTGCTGAAGGTGAACTGCTTGTGGGGCATTAGGTCGAGGCAGGTCTTGTAGATTTGGCGCGTCCGCTCCGTGTCCTCCGCCTCCAGCTCCTCGTAGAGGGCGTAGTTTATCCAGAGGTAGATGTAGCGACGCCAGTAGTTCTTCTCATTGGCTGGCGGAACGTTGGCGATGGCCCGCTCGTAGGTGTCCCGGATGAGGTCTTTATCGCCATCGGCCTCGATCAGACGTAGGTAATCGAACCAGGCATCGTAATTGGTGGGATTGGCGGCCACCTCCTGCTCGTACTGGTACTTTCGCTTGGAGACGATGACGTCCTCGATGCCGTCGCGGTCACCGTACTTCTTTTCGTGTATCGTGTAGGCCTTGAACAGCTCCTTGGTGCGCTCCTTGGGCAGATGGTCAAGAGCGTACTTGTAGATGATGCGGGCGCGGTCGTGCTCCTTCTGGCCTTCCTCGAAACGCGCGAAAGCGATGAAGAGGCGCTCCTCGATGTACTCGTCACCAAAGAACTCCACAGCCCTCTCGAATACGCGCCGCGACCCATGGATGAAGCCATGCGACTCCTCAAAGCGGGCAAACTTGATCCAGTTCTTGACGTCCGGATGAACATAGACGAATCGCTCGTAGACCTCGCGCGCCCGGTCAATCTCCTTGTAGCGCAGCTCGAAGTTCACGTACGTCTGCCAGGCCTGCTCCTCTGGTTGCCACTCCATCCAGCGTTCGAAGACCTGCCGTGCCCCGGCCACATTCTCCAGCATCTCCTCCATGTAGGTGTACTTGTACCAGTACTGATTCACCCGCGGCATGATGGTCACGGCCCGGTCCCACAGGTTGCGCGCATGGTTCACCTGTTTGTTTTTCATTTCCATCTCGGCGTACTTGAGCCAGATGGTGACGTTGCGGTGCTCGTTGTCCAGGGCGCGCTCCCAGATGGAACGGGCCCGCTGGATCTCCTGCTGCTGCTCCTCCCATTGCGCGTACTTGATCCAGTGGCTGACTACCATGCGGTTCTTGCGCAGATTGTCCTCGAACGTCTTCCGCTTCCTCTGCTGGTAGTCGGCCAATTCGGCTGGATCGGAGATCTTCTGTTTGGGCGGTGGCGGCAGGATCTCCAGGTCACGCTCCTTGGCTTCGCGCAACAGCTGCTCTGCCGTGATCTGCACCTCGGCCGGCGCCTTGTTCTTCACCTACAACCAACAACAAAATGGTGAAATCCACTGCACATATTGGCGCGCGCCGTTGACACTCACCTTGGCCACCTTGGGCATCTTCTGTGGCCGCTCCATGTCCGCCTTTAAATGTGTGTTTCCTAACTTATTTCAACAATTGCACCAATTCGCCAAATAAATGCCACAGACAAAGTAGGGATGAGAACTTGAATGTATATGCTTATCGATATATCGAAAAGTGTATTTTTTCTAATATGTATTTATATTTCGGCAACGATAATATAAGTGTCGATACTTTTGTTCGATACTTAATATTGTAAATTAAGTTTTGTCAGATATTTAATTAATGATCATATTCCTCCGTACTCCAACGGAATCAAGTCGAACTGTCAGATATAAAATCATTATGTGACAAACATGCTGTTTAAGTGATATAAATATATGATAGAGCATATGTGATTCCGCGAACTAGTTCACTGGTTCCCCTAAACTGATAGCCGAACCAGGCCGTGTGGGCGAAATAAATTACGAAAATAACAAAAATAAACGTTGATATTGTTTCCGTAGGAACTTGCAAAACATCCGTTTAATATACCATTTATACAATTGCATGGCTGGACGCCCACTTATAAAAATTTAGGGGAAAACAAAATTAGGCCTCAAATTTTGAATTTATCGGAAAATTCTCCATGAATGACCGTTACGCTTCTCAGACTTCTCCACCAGCCAGTGGTTAGGGTTCATCAGATAATCGCTGAAATGGGTGAAAATTATTGCCGATTTTCTATGGCTGATCACAAAACCCACCGATGCTCGACCAAGGCCTGCTTGGTTTGGGTTCGCAGCGTGTCCAGCGATCCGGCCGAGCCCCCGTACTCCTCCGGAAGCATTTCCCGTGGCACAAAGGCGTACAGCGATTCCATGCTGACTGTATGAAAGCGTATCTGGAACGGAATTTCTTTCGTATTATGCCACGCCAGTGAGAATCTTTGACGAAACGTACCAACTTGAAAACCTCGTCGCTGATGAAGGGCTTTACCACGCTCACGATTCTATCGAGATACGATGGACAGTTGACCATGTGAATGGCCCGTAGACGAACGGGAAAGGCCAGCTGAAGGAACTTTATGTATGCGCGTAGCGTGCTGATGGTTAGGCGCGATATGTGGCGCATGGTGGTCCCCTTCATGTCAAAGATCTGGACCTCGCCTTCGGAGAGGATGCCCGGTCGGGCTGAATCGTCCGGCGTGATGAAGCGACAGTCGGCGACCATGAAGAAGGCGCGCGTATCTTCGGTGTGATGCATCTGTGGAGTAGAGTCTCTCAGTTGTGGTGACGGCAGCGCGAACTGCGCAGATTGTTCACCTTTGTGGCCTCGAACTCCCGGAAGCAGTACAGGGACACCTTGTAGCCATCCGGCGTGAGGCCTGGGAGCGGCAGTATGTCCCTGAAATATATACATACACATATACCATCTATCAATCACCGGCCACTATCGCACATCCTTCCTTCTGCAGCCTTAGTGCTTACGCATAATCAAAGGTTCGCTGGCTGTCGTCGTCCAGTGGATCCCGCTTGATGAACAGATGGGGATGACGGTTGCGCAGGGAATAGTTCACCTCGATTAGCTTCTTGGTCTCCTCAACGTCTCCGTACATGCACTGGTAGAAGCGCCGCAGCAGCAGGGGATCTGTGAACGGTAGCCCAGCATTATTGAGTTTATCCGTCAATGACGTAACGCGAGCTGGGCATCGCAATGTTGATGTTGATGTTGATGGTGCTGCTATGCCTACTAACGACCTCATTAAGACTTATGGACGTGCTGGGTCTGCTAGGTATGGGTGGTGGCCGGTGGGTAGGTCCATCTCCAACCTATGACGCCGTGGGGACTGGCGTGTGTAGCACTTCTCCCATATTGACACTGCATTGGCGGCACTGCCTTGTTTTTACACCTTGGCGCAGCTTTCTCTGCAGGTTTCCTTACCAATCTCTTGCGGCAGCTTCTCATTTTGATGGAACCACTCAACCAGTTCGTTCAGATCGCGTCTCAGCTGTGTACCGTTCTCGCTTTCGGCGCTCATTGCTTCGTTTCGACTTGCTATCGATTGGGGTATCGGTACGGGTATCTGGTATCGATGGCTATCCTGTAGTATCGGTGGTCAGGGTGGCGGGCTCCTCTTCCGTTGGCAGACCGTTGTGTTGCGTTGTGTTATGCTTGGAGCCTGGCGGACAACTGGCGTGGTCTGTGGATTGATTTCCTATACATATCATATCTATTGGAACTGAAATATTGATTGCTGTTACTTCTGTTGCTGTTGCGTAGGCGATTAAACACGTAATTTTTTAATTGCTTTTGTCCGGCATTTGGCCACCGCTTAATAGTGCCTAAATATGACTTGCGCCGCTCCTCCAGCCGGGCCCAGTACAGGCTACGCCAAGTGCAGCTTCTGTTGGAGCTCAATCTGTGCCGAAATCTGCCTAATCGCCTGGTCGTGTTCTGAATATAAATGTCAAGCCGAAACCGAAACCAAATGGAACGGCTGGATATCGATTATTGGAATAATGCGGCTTCGTCATTGTAGTTACCTGTTCTGTATGGTCATCATTGGGCCCGATCTTACACTAAATGAAGGCCATTAGGTCCAAACCGATGTCGCAATTTGACGGCTCATTTGGTGAGTTAATCATCGTGGGGTGGAACATTTAGACGTGAGGAGCAAGGGGAAGTAGGGCGGAGTGACTCGGTTGAACCATCGGAAGTAAGAGATACTCGAGAGCCATGAGCAGCCCGCCAATCGCTGAAGGTTAAGGCGTATCGCAGCGACAAGTGGGGACGATACCGGTATCGATTCATCAGGTTAAAGGCGAACATCAGTGCATTCTGGCTTACAGTCAGTATGTTGGCTGTGGCGAGCCCATAGGCCACCCAGGCAATGGGCGTCAGAAGCGAGATCGTCCAGATGCTGGTAGCCTGCGACGGTGTGTCCCACTTGTAAAGCGTCTTCATCGCATGGCTTACGATGATGGTGGCCAGCACAATGTAGCCCAAGCGGGTCTCAAGCATAGTCGAATCATCCTGCACCGAGTAGCACATCAGCACCGCGATTGTTGCCCCAGCAGCGAGGCACTTTTTTCCAAGAGTATTCTTCTGGCTCAAGGGCACAAACTTGAAGACAAAGGCCATATGAGCAATGTGGAAGATGGTTCCAACGACGTAGACACCCAACATCACGTAGTCCCCGGCGAGGATTGCCAGCCGCAGCTTCAACATTGTGAGTATCAGCGATCCGAGCAGCAGCTCCGGATTACACACCACCGATGAGTGCACACCGTTCAGCACGAAATCCTTCAAGCGGAGGCACAAGTCCACTATGCTCATAATTATGACCGTGTTCTTTAGACTGTCCTGGAGGGGCGCCAATGTGGCGGAGTGGGCCTGGACTCCAGTAGGCCAAATGCCAAGTGCTCTAACGATGAAGTCCATGCTATAGTTATCGTTATCGCTATCGGAGGCAGCCATTGAATAATTTTGCGAAAGGAAATAGAAAGGAAATGTACACGACGAAATTTAGCGAAATAAAAACAGTTACGTTGCGTTGAAGGGTTAAATATGAACTGATTATATTTCACCTAAACACAGAGAGAGAGAGAGGGTATTGTATTTTCAGCGCTCACTTGGATACGAAACAAAGGACCATTTTGTACGAAAAAGAAATATTAGCTAATCATAGCATGCCGCGACATACATGTATGTATGTGTCCGTGGCTCCGAGTGGGTGGCGTGGCTGCGCTCATTGATCACATTTGAATATCACGACATTGACCATTGAACCATCTGCAGAGAGTTGGGTCCTCCTCCTCAAAACCAGGACCAGCGACTTTTGCTCAGCGACGTTACCTTCCAGTAACGCTCATCATTCAGGTAAGCGCTGGCGGAGAGGAGAGGGGAATGAGATGCAGCTAGACGCCTCGGAAGCTTGAAGGGCTCTGCTCTGTGCAGCTTACCTCTTCTCCTTGATGGACTGTATCCCCCCGGCCTTGAGCTCGGCAATGGTGCCAGCCTTCCCCCCATACTCCTCGGGCAACATATCCTTAGGCACTTGCCGGTACAGACTCTCCATGCCCTCGGTGTGGTAATGGATCTGCAATGGGGACAGTCACAGATTATGCATAGTAAATATAGATACTGAGAATAGTAGACTCCATTGGTCGTACCAAATTGCGCACTTCCTCCCGCAGAAAGGGGGACATCATGGAGATGAGGCGATCCAGATACGAGGGGCAGTTGATTACGTGCATGGCCCGCAGTCGCGAGGGGTATGCCTCCTGCAGGAACTTCATGTAGATGCGCAGAACGAAGATCGATATGTAGGCCAGATGCCGGAGCGTGTATCCCTCGATGTCGACTATCTGCACGTCTCCATCCGCAATGTCCGACTCGTCCAGGTCGCGCCCCTCCTCCCCCACCTTTGGCTCTACATCCGGCAGCGTGAAGCGAGCGTCGCTCATCATGAAGAAGATTTTGGTTTCCTCCACGGAGTTGCGCTGCCAATAGATACCAAGAGAGCCATGAGGATATTGATCCATGGATCATTGCAGGTGGAGGTAGAGTACTCGCCGTACCGTGTGTGGATCCATGTCCGCCATGCGGAAGAAGAGCAGCTTGTTCCCCTCTGGCGTCAGGCCCGGAAGTATCAGCAAATCACTGCGAACAAAGCAAATTGGATCGGATTGGTTGATTTCTCTCGTATCTCTCCATCCCCATCACTCCCCATCATCTTCTCCCACTCTGACACACGCAGAGCGGCAGTCGTGTCTAACGATGGTTGGTTTTCCCTTCCGCTTCAGCACTTACGAGACTCGCAAACCCTTGGCCGTCATCTCATCGTCCATGTTGCGGTCGATGAACAGGTGCGCATGCTTGTTCCGCATGCTGTAGTTGAGCTCCACCAGAGGTTTCGTCTTCTCCACGTCGTACTGCACGCACTTTAGGAACCGCAGCATCACAATCGGCTCTGGACCAAATCGAAATTCAAATGAAATTGGGGTAAGTATCTGTATCTGTAGCTTAATGGCAACTTTATAATTTGAGCGGATCAAGAACGTGCCCGAGTATGCGCACGACCTTTGGCGCGAGCATTTATTGCCTGGGGCCCCCCCACCCCTGCCAATGTCTAATGGCTAATGGCGCTGCAAGGTTTAAGTGTGTGTCTGAGTGTGTGGGGCGTATCTATTGGGTTATTGCGCTGCCATTAATTTCTGTGCCTGCACCGTCTAGAGTCTAGACTCTAGACACGCCAATGGCTATCAGTCCGGGCCACTGGCCACTGGTCACTGGTAGCTAATCGGACCGTAACGGACCCACTGCTCGGCGAACCTTACCAATCTTTTCGGGTAGATTCGGATTGCTCTCGAACCAGGCCAGCAGCTCCTGCAGCTTGTCGCTCCAGGCGGAATCGATGCGGCAACTTCTAGCCGTAGCCATGATGTATATACGTCTTTGCTCCGGCGGCAACAATCGCCAACTAAGTACTCGTACTCGTACCCGTAGTCGTACCCGTACCCGTACCCGCAACCAACCCCATTCCCATTCTCGTTCCCGCTCAATTGATTAAGCTAACGAGCCCACACACACACAAACACAAACACACATAAGCACACGCAAACACTGTCCAAACACTAACAACGCTCACTGCGAGCAATCTCTTCGTCACTGACTTTTCACGCTACGATCGGCGAGAGAGCGCGAAAGCGAGAGAGCGAACGACTAGCTACTTGCTCTCATCTCAGGTAAATATAATTGAGTAAAGCTGGCTGTGGCGGGCTGAGTGTCCGTTTTCATTACCGTCTCGATCTGGGGTCTGCGATTCCATGGAATTGGCATCGAAGTCGAAGTCGGAATACACTTGCCGCGAACAACATTTATAGATACTTTATTGGAATACTGTATCAGACATCTATATGCATATAGTATAATATAATACACATCCAAGCATGTATGTACATGTACATTGTACATTTACATATGTATGTATGTATATATATGTAGGTGTATATGTATGTGTGTATATTGTTGTAGAGCGCAGCGACCAGCGACCAGCGACCAGTGGTGGCTTCTGGCTCTCATCGGGTTGGGCTATCACTGCCCGGAGCGGAGCTTTCTAGTTTAACTTGTTTGAGACTTGTGTTTAGTTTATTCACAATAATATTCCCCGTATTCAATATTCAATGTTCAATATGCATGCAGCTGACACCTCTGCTAAGACAAAAAAAATTATTATTATTATTTACTTATGGGTATACTTTTATATATGCACGTGTTTGTGTACATGTATACACCCCCCTCCCTCCCACCCACTCACACACACACTTGCCGATGCATGAAATCGCATTCCAATCTATCAACGGTCGCAAAATGGTTACAAATTCTCAAAATGTTAACATTGTTCTTAGACCTTAGGATTTCACCTTGTTACATCAATAACAGCTGTTGCTACACCACCCAAAAGCTACATATACATACATATTTAGATCTAAATCTGGAAATGGGAATTGGAATCGGGCATGGTATGGGATATGGGATATGGGTTATGGGTAATGCTGATGCTGATGGATAATATTAGTAAGGCCAAAAGATGGCCACGAATCGGTGCTTCCATTATGCACCTGCATGCACATGTCTGTATGTATGTTTGTATGTACATATACCACATGAACAACATCCAAGGGTCGGTCGGCGGCGGATCGGTATACCTATCGTAATCGTAAATACACTTAGAGACTACGTCACGTCAGAGGAATACACTGGGTTTTGGTTTGTGGTACGCGTAGCTGCCATAGTTAGCCAATGCCCTCCTCTCCTCTCGTCTCCTCTCCTGCGGCAGATTACAACTACATAGACATAAGCATAGACATCATATCATATCATATCATATCATTTCATATTACATACATATGTAGTATATCGTATCGTATCGTATTGTATCAGATCGTATTATCTCTTAAACTATTGGCTATATTGGCGGCTTGCTGCAGCAGCTGGAGCATATGCACACATCGCATAGCTATCCACAGCTGGACACCCACCACGGAAGAAACCACACAAAGCTCTCTATTTGATAGATACACGAGTAGTAAGTATGTATGTATGTAGTACAGTACACAAATTTACGGACATGGAACAACATTATTGGCACTGGCAAATGCTACAGTTAAGAATGCACACAGATGGGACAGAATGGATGGGGTGGACACGAATCCCCCCCTTACCCAGTCCAACATTTATATATGTACATGTAATGTATTGTATATACGATCAATCTTAGTGTCTAGTCGTACGAACGAACTCTAACTGGGGACTCAATGGGCGAGAGTCCGTCCTGGATGCAGGGGGGAGCGCGTGCCGAGTGCCCTCCTCGGCTGCTGCCTCTCAGAGCGCCAAGGAAATACTGAAATGTACCCTGACTCTTGTCTCTCTTTCAATACTGATGGGTCTCAACTCGATCAGGTCGGGGGTGGTGGCGGTGGTGGTCCGGTCGGCGCCAGTCCGTCGGACCTGGTTAAGCCGCCCTCACATGGTGTGGGTGCGGGCCACGGTGCCCCGCCGCTGGCGTCGGGACTAGCTGAAGATGCTCCGTCATAAGCTGATGAGCGTGGCCTTGCGCTGGGCCTCCAGACGGATCTCGAGCGTGGCGTAGGGCGGCACGCTGATCACCAGCAGCACCACCAGAGCGATGATCTTCAGCGACTCGCAGAGGAAGCCGTGCCCGGCGAAGGTGATGCCCAGGCCCAGGAAGCGGAGGGCCTGCAGCGGCGCCGACACCTCGGTCACATGGTTCGCATGGTTGAGGGTGACCAGCGAGAGGAGCAGAGTCTCCCACATGCCGTTGCAGGCGCCCCATGAGGCGGCTATTACGTAGAACAGAGCGCTGTCGTCGTTCGACGGCTTCCAGCTGGAGAGCGCGAGCAGCAGGCAGGAGTGGAAGAAGAATCCGGCCACTGAAATGAGAATGAGAAGCAGAAGGAGAAGCAGGCGTGAGCGGGGACGCACTCAAAGACGACACTCGGCTCGGATACCTACAGATCACCACGATGCGCTTGACGTGCCGCAGGAGCATGCTGAGCGTGCAGGAGACGATCAGCTGCATCAGTCCCATGCCAACCATGGCGCCAGCTATCATGCCGATGCCCAGCGAGCAGGAGACGAAGGCTCGCAGGAAGTCGCCCAGCATGTAGGCCTGCTCCGTGCCCACGAAGTAGGCCAGCGGTCCAGCGAAGAGCAGCGTGTCCGTGATGCTGACGTCCCTGCTGAAGCCCGAGCCCCTCTCCTGTCGCGACGCGCCCGTGGAGGCGGCCCCTTGCACCTTGCCCACCACCGCCACCAGCGAAAGCATCAGCGATACCAGGGAGAAGAGCACGTAAAGCCACAGCAGCGACTGGCCACCAGCCCGGGCGCCGCTCTCGATGAACCCCACGTAGATGGAGCGCTGCGCGGAGCTGGATTCGGTCTCGTTGGCCCAATCCGCGGCCAGCGGTGTCTGCACCCTCAGCGGACACATGTCTGCCCCGCAAATCCGCTCGCCGTGCTCATTCCGGTTAAAGAAGTCCCGCAGCTGGGGGGCAGTCGCGGCCGCGGCCACAGTCGCAGTCCCATTGCGCGTGTCCCCCGCTCCGGAGCAACTCCAGTCGCTGCCGTTGCACACGAGCAGCAGCGAGGCCAACAGGGCACCCACGATCAGGCCTAGGTCCTGGGAGGCGCGGAACCAACGGGCCAAGCGTCGCACCTTCTGCTCCCGGTTGCAGAACATCTTGTGCTCCTCGTTCAGCACGTCCACGGCGGCCTGCGCCTGCTGCTCGCAGGCGGCCTGGGAGCAGCTCAGCCTCCCACCGAAGTGGACGATGAGGGCCGCCTTGCAGCCATTGGCGCCGCTGATGGTGAGCCCCAGCAGCAGGTAGGCCGGCAGCAGCGTGTAAATGGAGGCGTAAATGTGCGACAGTACGAAGAGCATCACCGCCAGGTAGTTGGCCGCCAGGAGCGGCGTGTAGCCGTAGCGGCGCATCAGCCAGGCGCTGGGCAGGCACATGCCGGCGGCCAGCAGGAACAGGGTGCTGAGCAGCAGCGACCCGATGTCCGGGCCGATGGGCAGCCACTGCTCGCGGTGGTGCCACACCGCATTGGAGCCCTGCAGGGCCATCATCGGCAGCAGCACGGCGTTCATCAGGCCGTGGGCGATGGCTAGGCAGCTGAACTGGCGCCACACCTTTTGGCGCACGTGGGCCGGCACACGGTGTCGGCAGTTCCGGTTGTTCAGCGTGATCAGCCGCCGTATGGAGGTGGCGCCGATCGAGCTGTTGATCGACTCGCGGCGCCGTGAGGCCGCCAGCGTCGCCTGCACCTGGTACGAGGACACCGGATTGATGCGGTGCGAGCGCGTGGATACCGGCGAGGGAGAGTACGCGGCGAAGTGCGCCTGGAACATAAATGAATAAATAAATCAAGCGTTAAACAAGAGCCATACGGGGCGCGAAGGATTACGCGGCTCAGCGGAGCTTTGCGCCTGACAACGCCCGCTAATCCTCACAAGCTGCTTCCGGCACCCAGTGCAGCCACACACAGCCTGCAGCACACACAGCCTTGGGCTTAGGCCAAGGCCACCCACACCACCCATCCACAGTCCACCCGTCGATATGACTGCGTGTCCACCCACACACACACACACACACCCACACACCCCGGCACTTTAATTACAGTTGACAGAGCCGGCAACATGGGGGACTGGACTGGACTGGACGGGACTGGACTCACTTAATTATTTGTTGTGCAACTGGGGAAAATAATCCGTTTTCATGCTCTGACATTTGCGGGATTTGCCTCTGCCTCCTGCCTCTTGCCTCCTGCATCTGCCTCCTGCTCTGGGTCCGAGTCTGATTCCGAGTCCCACTCACAGTCACAGTCACAGTCCGTCCTCTTTGTTGACATTGAGCACAATTGAAGCAGAAGCAGAAGCTCAATCTGAATCCGATTCCGACTGTGACGCGTGCAACGCGGGGGCGGTCACACCACACTCAATACCCATTACCCGGAGAGCACTGATTCTATTAATAAATGACGAGTGCCAGCAGGGAGGCGGACAGACCACACCACACCATCCACTCACCTCCATCATCTGGTCATCCCAAACGTTCTGGGCTCCACCCGAGCTGCGGGTACGCAGCACCCGATGCCTGGTGGTTAGCGAGTGGCGATGCTGATGCAGATGCTGATGCTGGTGTTGATGCTGGTGCTGATGCGGAGGGACGTGCTGGTGGTGCGAGTGCGTTGTAATCCTCTTCGTGGTCAGCCCCAGCATGGCAAAGCCGCTGAACGTGCTGGTCGTTGTGGTTGCCGTCGTTGTTGTCGCCGTGCTGCAGGCCATGGCCTCCGATTTCGCGGCAGCAGCTCCATTGGCGATGGGCAGATCTCCGTTCCCAGTTCCGGCGGTCGAAAGACTCAGCGAGCCGCCGCCAACTCCCAATCCGGCCATGACGTAGGCATTGTACGAAGATTGCTGCAGGAAAAAGGAAATAAGTAAATGGATAAATACAAGACATAGTGGGATAAAGATTCCATAAATGAGTAACGATCGACAAGGATCGATTTTCAAGCTATCGATAGTCAACGAACGATTAACGGTATGGACTCACCTTGCGCTGCTGGGCGAATGCGGAGAGACGCTCACGCTCCCTGCTGGTGTCCCTGGCCCGCTGCTCCAGCAGCAGTTCGTACTCCCTACGCTTCTCACGCTTGCGCTCGGCCGCCTCCAGCTCGTGCAGATTCGGCAGGCTGCCCATCGCGGCCGATCGCTGTGATTTCGTCGCCTTCTCTTAATGTTATCGGTCTGTGGCGTGACTTCGCTTCAATTTTATGCAAATCCGATTCGGAATCAGAGAGAGAAAGTGAGTGAGCGGGAGTGCGGGAGCGGGAGTCGGACTGACTGTTAGTTCCAATGCAGCTCAGGATGAATCACTGGCGTCCGAACGTGCCGGAAACGGCTCGTGAGGCGGTGCTGGCATGTCCCCATGCAATGCGAAGCTGTCTCGCTGGCTGAATGCTGCTCGTCACCTTCACTGTCACTGTCGGTGTCGGTGTCGCTTTTTTCGTATTCGTCCCCGTTGTGGTGTGCGTGGTCATGGCTGCCGCTGCCACTGCCACTGCCGCTGCTCACACAGCACAAGCATCCTAATCCTCTGCTCTGCGTTTTTGTCTGTGTGCGGTGCGATGCGATGCGCTGATTTAATTACTTTTTGCGCTGCATTGGCATTGGCGGCGGGTTCATTGCCCGCCTCAAGATTTCTCTTGACTATTTCTGGTGCTGCGCGAACACGAAATTCAGCCCAATCATTCGATACTTATCCCTGGGAATGAAATATCGAGAGTAAATGGATGATTTTTGGAAGGATCTCGCACCCCCAATACCCGCATACGTCTCCCATACATACTCCCATACATATATGTATATGACCTCTTTTCCCCACTTGTACATATGTACATGCACACATCATATCATCAGGTATGTCCCCCCGTTTTGAGTTATCTACACATGTGCACACCGCCCACGCATGCATTCAGTGTACACCGATACACCCATACATGGACACACACACCATTCATACATGTACACTGTACACAAACACAGTCACAGACAGAGACAACATGACAGGCGAAATTAGTTATTCTTGACCTCAAGGTTTCTGGACCTGGACCTGTACCTGGAGCTGGACCCACTCCGGGCACCCACTGTGAGCATATTTTGAGCTAATAATCATCTCATAAGAAGTCTTAGTTCTTTTTTATCGTCCTGAGCTAGCACCCGTTATCTACGTCCCTCCCAGAGGCGCAGGGCCCATGGCCTACGGCCCACCCAGCGCCCTCAATTGTGGCGCAGTTGCGATTCTATGCCACACGCCCTTGGGGGGGCGGCGCGGCCCAGGGCTCGCCCCAGCCCAGAGGTACAGGTGAAGGAAGGCCACAAAAGGAACAACAACAAATGTAAAATTGTACGTAAAATTTTAAATAAATAAAGAATATGAATATTTAAAGGAAGAACAACCTTCCTCCGAGCTCTGCTCTGCTCCCATGCATGCATATCTAGGGTACGTGGTACGTACGTATAGGGTATTATGTACATGTAGTAGCTCCATATGTACATATGTATATAGGTACATATATGTATATAGTAGAGACCTTCTCGATATTGGTTGAAGTTCACTTTTCAGGGCCGCCGCTGGCACATCTGCACTTGAGCTCTAGGTTCTGGGTTTCGGGTTCTCGCTGAGCTGGGCTGGGCCCTGTTGCCGCACTTCACTGGGGGCTCACTTTGTGGGTCAGCGAAATTGTTTATAAGCCCCCCACTGCACCACACAAGCAACAAAAAGAACAAGAAGAACCTCAATAGCCGAAAAACCGAGGGTCATTCCACTCAGATTCAGATTCAGTTCCGTTCAACACAGACACAAGCACAAACAGAACAGAACAGCACAGCACAGAAGAGGGCAGGGACAGGACGGGACAAAACTCTTTGGTCTCCTTGGTGGTGCCGCGCTCTCAGCCTCACGCAAACTACTCCAAGAATATACTGAACACGGGAAATTAATGCTGCTGCTGCTTCTGCTTCTGCTGCTGCTGCTCCTGTTAGCGGCTGTCATCTCGTGCCTTTCGTTGGCATCGCCTTCCTTCGCACTGACATGCGCACAACTGATTGATGCTGGGCACCACCCACCACCCTCTCAGCCTTAAATATTTGCACGAAGCGAATTGAAGCGAAGCCCCAGCCCCAGCCCACGCCTCACAATCACCCACTGAATACAGGTGGTGGGCTGGGGGGTATGAGTGGAAAGCCCCCTCTAAGCAGTTGTCCGTCTGTTGATTTAATTTTATTTAAAACTATCTGCAAATTGGCTAACAAACACGTGCATACAATAATGGGATAACTTGAACATTTAGATTAGATCGATCGACCGACTGTGGCGGCGGCACTGCCAAACACAGATTATAATATGTATGTAGGTATGTGTATGTAACGCGGGGGGTTGGGGGAATACGGTAACACGAGATGCGGTATAACAGCTATCGAAATGCAGTTGTCATGATTTTCAGACGTTTGTCTTTGGGGTACACAGTGGATAATCCAAGTAATAGCAGAGTAACTATCTATGTATGTGTGTATGTATGTATGTATCTACACACACATACACACACACACACAAGGTAGTGATGATCCAAAATTTTGAGCTTTACAACGACGTTTTGAGCGGGTGGAAGGGGGAGGGTGTGGGGCCCTTATGGGCTAGTCCTAGTCCCGCCGAGGAGCCTCCGCTACCGGGTAGCCAAAGTTGAGATGCAGGTTACACCAGCGCTGATGCTTGCCGCCCAGCGCCGACTCGGCCTGCCGCACCGCCTCCAGGAAGGGATGCGTTCCATAGTCAAACTTGTCCAGTTGTGACTGCAGCTGTGACTCGTTGGCCGCCGTCGCATGGTCGGTCGCAAGGTGGCAGTGGCCGTCAGTCAGCCCCATTTGCAGGCGAACGCAATGCTCCACGATGAACTTGAGCGCGGCACGGCGGTGCAGCTCAAAACAGTCGCGCGGTCCGTACAGAGCCCGCTGCTCCATGCACAGGCGCATGTCGTAGGCAGCCACGTTGCAGCAGTATAGGAAGGAGCGCAACCGCTGGCCACTGACAGCGCTGCGGTTCATGTTGGGCAGCATCAGTTGGATCAGGGCCTCGGTATTCGGCTCGCAGTGCAGTCCGTACTCGGCTAGAAGCTCGAGGAGACTGGACAGCTGCGGCTGGGACTCTTCGCTGGGCATGAAGAAGCAGAGCTCGTAGGCGCGACCGAGCAGCACCTGGCGATAATGATAGCAGCTGTAGTCGCTGATATGCTTGCGCAGGAACTTATCCGTTCGCATCAGCTCCGACTGGAGCAGGCAGGGGCCGCTCCGCAACACCCAGTGGCGATGGGACCAGGCGTGATAGTTGCTGGCACACCGATCGGCGGACCGCTCGCAGATGCTGATTTCGTTGGGCCAGTCAATTGCATCGGCGCCTGCAAATCAAATCGATTAGGAAACCTTCTCAGCTGACTCTCCGAGTGTTGAATGCACTTACTTTGGAACGAGTAGAGCCAGCGGCGGTAGGCGAACGCCTCGTTCGACTTTGGCTTGACGGAGAGGACGAGGGCCGAGAACTGCAGCTCCTTGTTTATGCTGAGCCGGTTCTTTTGCACCAGCTGGCGGCGGATGTGCCAGAATGTGGTCACGTCCGGATTGATGAGCAGCGCCACATTTATATACTTAGCCAGGGCATCGCTTTGCTGCTGCTGCTGGAGCGTGCGCAGCTGCTGCTGCGACGTCTGTCGGCGGTGCGATATGAGGGTACGGTGGGCGTGGTCATAGACATGCTGGGCGCACCACGACTCCAGGCCCAGATTGTGCTCCACATGCACCACTGGCGACTTGTTGCAGTTCGTCTCCTTCGGTATTATCTCGAACGACGCCCTACGACGCAATTGCAATGAGTGATAATTGAGTGAGGGGCGTAAGGGGCGTAAGGGGCGTAAGGGGCCGCTCGGATGCACCCGAGGGCCGAGAATTTTGAACTTACAGATCGGCGTCCTTGAGGAAGACTGCGTTTATATCGCGAATGATCTTCTCGCAGAGCACTCTCTTCTCATTGTTAAGGTCGACATCCATGTCGTCCTCCATTGCACTAGCGCTGTGGGGGCTCTTTTCCTCTGGCTTTCTCAGTGCTCTTGTCCAGCTTCCTGGCTGCTTCCGTTTGGTCTTGTTGATCGCTGTCGTTTGATTCGAATGTAGAAGCACATTGATTGCTTTCAATTAACATTCGGCTGCTCAATTCCCTGAGGCCTGGCCTAGAGGGGCTCCGGCTTCGGTTAATTAAAGAATCCAGCCTTGGACGAGAGGCGAGGCTATTACGGAGGCCCCACTAGCAGAGCCATCACAACAAATAAATTTCAATTAAAAACGAATTTATTATTCCTATTCTAATAGGCAGCCGGGTGCGGAATGAGAACGGAATCGGGTACGAGATCAGAAACGGTACCGGCCACAAGCCGATTTCGCAAAGATTAGCCCAAAACAAACTGTGCTTCCGCTCGTGCAACTCTGGTCTGTATTATTGTCACACCACGCACTTGGCGCACAATTGCTCTCTGGCCAGTCCCAGTCCCAGTCACAAATTGAAGCAGATCCAAATACCAATTAGGAATGTTTAGGGGAGCGACCATATGATGTGGGGACCACTGTCACTGTTGTTGTCGTTTCGTTGCAGTGGGTGTGAGTGGTGTGAGATTTGTTGTTGCTAACATGTGTTTGGCCAGCTATCGATGTACCGCCTATCGGTATGCTACTGCAATCGACTCTCAGAGTGTGACCAGAGAGGAGGGTCAAACCGATACGACATTATATTGATATGTTATTCAAATTCCCAAAAACTCGCAAAGAAACTATGCACAGCTATGTATGTATCCAATTTAAGCTATAACTTTACCCTTACAAAATGATTGTAATCGCCATGAAGAAGTGCAACACACAAACAGCTCGTTGGATTCCGTTCCCTCTCTATGTCCCACACCTTGCCACTTTCTTAGATAGTATCGAAGATGTTCCGTATACAAATAATATTATGGTATCAAATGAATGCATGAATGACCCATCACTAATTAAGGGATTCTGGAACGGAACACGTGCGATCGCTGCACGCGAAATTAAAACTATCAGAATGGACAGCCGGTTTTATGCACTCAATATCAGAAGATATCAGCAGCGGGCACAAGTAGAGACGCCCGACACAATATATTGGGAAAGGCTAGAGGTAATGTAGTCGAGACTACGGAGACAAACCTTTCCAATCCACAGAACCAACAAGTGTAATTTTGATTGTATTGTAGAAACCAGAGTTCCTCAAGGAGTGCAACACAATCGACTATTTAGACTTCAGCCCCAGCGAGCCGGATAACTTTGTCGTGACGTGCTCGGTGCGCGTTCAAATCTACAATTTGGTCACCAAGCTGGTGGTGAAGAACCTATCAAGGTTCCAGAAGACCGCCTATGGTGCGACGTTTCGTCAAGATGGCCGGCTATTGGCGGCCGGTGACGAAGAAGGCCATGTGAAGCTCTTCGACACCACCAGTCGGAACATCCTGCGAATTTTTAAGGGACATAAGGCGCCTGTGCATCGAACCTTCTTCACCAACGACAAACTGCAACTGACTAGCTTCTGCGACGACAAGTCGGTGCGCCTGTGGGACGTGTCCAACGAAAAGGTGGTGAAGACCTACAACGATGCTCACACGGACTACATTCGTGCTGGGGCCATGCATCCGGTGGCGGGCAACATGTTCGTCTCCGGCGGCTACGATGGTAAAATTAATCTGTACGACACGCGCGCAGAGAACGCCATCCAGCGTACCCTGAACCATGGCAGCCCGGTGGAGTCGCTTCTCTTCATGCCAAACGGATCCATATTCATCAGCGCTGGCGGCAACCAGGTGCGTGTCTGGGACCTCATCAGCGGCTGCCGGCTGCTCACGATGATGTCGCAACACCACAAGACCGTGACCTGCCTGCGCCTGGGCACTGACGGGCGCCGTCTGTTCTCCGGCGGGCTGGATCGTCATGTTAAGATCTACGACACCACCACCTACAAGACCGTCCACACGCTTACCTATCCCAATGCCGTGGTGAGTCTGGCCGTGGCCGGCGCAGATCAGGCGGTGGTGGCCGGCATGGTGGATGGTCTCATCTCGATCAAGCGCATGATCGTCGAAAACAAACCGAGTCACCTGAACAAGATCCGGGTGAGTCATGCCGCTAAGGAAAGGAAAAAGCTCGTCAAGAAGCTGATACGACCGGATACCTCGCAAGTGGTGGACCACACAATCAAAGACAGGGTCAAGAGCACAAAACTACAGACCTTTGACGTTCATCTCCGCAAGTTCAACTTCAAAAAGGCCCTGGACGAGGTTCTTGTACCTCGTCAGGTGGAAAAGCACCCAGAAAACACTGTGGCCGTCATCACAGAGCTGCTTCAACGCCGGGCCCTGGACAAAGCACTCACCGAACGGACTGACGCAGTTCTCATCCAGTTTATCGATTTCCTCTGCACACACATGGGCGAAATCCGTTTTATGCGTCCGCTCATGAATGCCGCCAATACCGTCCTCGATGTATTCGAGGGCAGTTGTGTGTCGTACAGTCTTAAGGTTATGGAAGCGCTGCAACGATTGTCTACCGCTGTCCAGGCGGAAATCGCCCTCACTGTCGAGATGCTCCAGCTGAAGGGAGCCATGGACACGATCATTGGCGTCTCCCTGAACGACAGCGACAGGCCGAAGACGCGAATAGCCGCACCAAGGGAAGCCAGGATGCAACCGTCCGCGCGCGCCGAGAAGTACGTGATCTATGTCGATTGACAGCGTGAAGAAAGGGAAATGCAGAGAACAACTTAGCCTTTGAGTGCCTCTGCTTCTCCAGTTGGAGACGGGGATCATAGGGGACCGACCATTGGTTTGACAATGGTTGATGGATCATCCAGTGGAGGTGGAGTCCACGTTCCACGCTTAGACATTTAAGGAATAATTATTAAGTTTAAAGTGAAAGAAGCCCAGATTATATTGTGTTTTGTTTTTTATTAAATACATACTTAAAATGAACAATTCATGTTGTTTGCCAATTGCCGATTCGTAATGTACAATTCAATTTTGTACGCCGTCGTGGGAATAATAAAAAATCAGAGTTATAATGGAGGAGGCAACCAAACTGCTCAGCCCTCGATTTAACTTTGCGTTTATTAATATTCTGCGATTACTATACGATTCTACTTCGTTTACTTTCTCTGCTGGTTGCTGGTGGCTCCTTCTCCCATCGAATGAATCTACATATGCATGTACATGTACATGTTAGCTTTACTCGTATCTAAATGTATATTTAGATTAACTGTAGGTTTACTTTATTTTATTTTATTTTATGGTACGATTATTTGGAAAGACGAATTTACACTTGAAGTTGCGACGCATCATAGTTCTGTTGTTGTTTTACGTTTTAGCTTACACTTAGTACATGTAAATATATATATATATTTGTATATTTATATGTATATTTATGTATGTGTGTGTGTGTGTTTTTTTTTTATAGGTATATGTATATATATATATATATCTATCGCGCTAGATCTGTGCCTTACTTCTCAATGCTGCTCGCACCGATCGCCGCCAGCCAGTAGAGAGAATTTTATATGATTACACAAAATTTGTTAAACTAAATAAGATTACAATCAGGACATACGACTTAACTAGTTACAAATATGATGGGCGAGTGGGGGAGGATCAGTGTTTGTTTGTTTCTGGTTATTTTTGTGGCTCCACAATTGTGTATGTGTATGTATGTGTGTGTGTGTGTGTGTGTGGGTGGAAGAAATGAGTGTAAGCGGAAATGAAAATCGAGGAGCCACTGCATTTACAATTAAATTACAAATTACATTCATATACATAACAGATACATATTGCCTTTGCATGTATGTTGCACTCTGTTCCTCCTGCGTTCCGCCTGTTCTTCCAACACTCTATACAAGACACACCATCATGATGATAGAGAGATTGGCATGGATTCGGGGCTAGGCAAGGACTGGGACCAAAGGATTCCTTGCGCCGTCGCTGCTACTTTTGCTGAAGTTGCGTCCGATTTTTGGCTCACCGCTTACACAGATCCATTTATACCCGTGTTCACTCACACATGACATATACACATGGATGTGGATGGGTGGGTGCACTTGAAACACAAAAGTCCACAGACACGTATCAAATTATATAGGCAGTTGGATATAAATATAAGATTTGCTATACATAAAGAAAATACACATAATTGTTTGGAGACTTCCGTCCGTCTGTTTATCTTAGGGCTCATCTAATCAACAACTGATCAAAAACTGTGTGTGCCAGAAAAAGGGGAGGGGGGCAAAAGATGTGTGTGCTGATGCTGTTTTTTGTGGTCGTGGTGCTGGTGGTGGTAATGGTGTGTAGATGCGAGTCCGGACTAAACTGAACCGCCTTAGCCATCCTCCTTGGGCGGTGTGAACCAACCTGCACATGGTCGGAATGGAATTGTTTTAATTGTGACTCTTCCCAAGCAGCCAAGCAAGCAATTTTCTTACCATTCTTCTCGTGTATCTGCACAAGGGACTTGAAGCTTTGCTGGGCTCTTGCCAGGCTGTACTGGCCTTGGGTCAGTGCCTGTTCATGATGAGACTAAAAGGATTATTTCATTATCTCCTGGCGAAAGACAACATACTGCCTACCTTAGTGGCCCCAAACTGTATCCGCGCCTTGCCCTTGACGAGGGTGGCGGCTATCTGCATGATCACCGCCTCGACAGTGTAGGCTGAGCTCCATCCCTGTTTGGTCAGCAGCTCCATGCAAATGGCGCCGCCGATGAGCACATATCCACCTGCATATTAAAAAAAATCGAATTGTAGTTCTTCTGTGGCCCCTAAACTGTGAAATTGATTGAACCTGAGATGATTGGGTGCACGACGCGGACAAAGGGTGGCTCAAAGGGATAGGTCTCCTTGAAAAGGATGTTGAGGAGTATGCTGTCCTTGCCCTCCTTCTCCTTGAGCATTAGTAGATCACTGTGCAGCGGACTGTCGGGGTCCACAGACTTGAGGCGGATGTTCCACTCGTAGATCGAGTCATTCACCAGCTCAATCAAATACATGTTCTTCTTGAAGGCGTCCGATCGATAAATATCACGTAGTTCCTTCATTAGGCGATCGGTTGCCTGTACGGAACCCGAAACGGAACCCTGAATCATAGCAGATCAAAAGGGGAAAACAGTGAGTATGTCTAATCAGTGCCACAATCAAGCAGCAGCACACCAGCCCAACGCCAACGGCAACCTACTTTTAAATAGTCTTGTCTTTGACTTTGACGCAGTCTTTCGAGGGTCGCTAAGTGCTCCACTTCCATGTCATCTTTCTGCAATGATCCGAATACTGATTAGAATCTGCTCTGTCCTGCTCTGGGAGCAACTGAGCTTCGCCGCGCACCTTATTTGTACTCCGTACATCATCCATTTCCAATGGCAAATCTTCGTCGCCCTCGCTCTCCTGTTCGCTCTCGCCGATGGGATCCTCGATCTCGTCCTGATCGGAGTCGGTCTCCTCGTTGCCCCCATGCGACCCCATTTTCCTCTGTTCGCAGCGCAGCGGGGAAGCCGATGGCGGTGGCGTTTGCAATGGCAACGTTAAATTGTCTACATCGGGTGGCAGTGGAACGTTGTGTAATCGGCACAGCTCGCGCAGCAATATGCCAACCTGCAACATATCGATTTGGGGGAATGGGGGAATTATGAATGTTTATGAATGTTCCTATTCCTGGCGGGGCGGGACACCTTTACCTGATTGATCACGTGATTATCACGACCATTTGTATTGCTAAGTATTTGAACAGCATTGGTGACGCTCGTCTCCTCGCTCTCGGCAAACCACACTGGCGGCGATGATGGATACGTTTCCTGTGGTTGGATGGGGATATATATCAATGATATTATTTATCTACATATATATCGCATTTGAATCTACATGAGTGTGGGGTATGATGTGGGGGTATGGGGAACACTGATGTTGTTGCTTGGGGTGGGTCAAGGCCTCCCCATTGCATGTTTGTTCAACTCGCGCTCTCTCTCTCTCTCTCTCCAGGTGGAATCGTGAATAAGCAATCGTCATGCCAAACGTTGCCAAAAAGAGAGACAGATAGAGAGGAGAGAGAGAGAGAGGAAGAAATAACGAGAACAAACAAGAAAGGGAAATAGCAGCCAGAACAAAATTATAACCTTTAATTAGATCGTTGAACCAAGCCGAGAGCACTGCACAGACAACACAGGCAAAAGTCTGGGGGCGCAGGGGAACGCTCGGAGAGCGCCGATCGGGTGCAATGAATCATAACTTATGAAGGTATCGTGGGCCGTCGATGAGCACTGGAGAGAGCATGCCAGCCACTCTTTACTCCTGCGGCAAAGGCAAGGACTGGCCCAAAGAGGAAACAGCCGATAGAGCGAGACAGGATATGGATATGGAGCGGATGGTCAGAGGGCAACGACTATTTTCTATCCCGCTCGCTCTTTCACTGGTCAGCGTGGGAATAAAGGAATAAGCACACCCACGCAGAAATGTACATACATATTTATGTATGTATATGTGTAAGCATACAAAAACCAAGAAAAGACAAGAAGAAAGATATCAACGCGAATCGATAAAGAAACGCGCCGGAAGAAGAGAGAAGACGACCCGACCCCAGCATTGGCAGTCTAGACGGATGTATGGAGAGAGGATAGAGTTCCTGGGAACGGAGATAGCATATTGATTGAATGTGTCGATGCCAATTATTGTAGTTTGTACATATGTACATATGTATGTTACAGATCACTTTCTTTTTAGACAGGCTGCTTGTTTTTCTCCCGCTATCAATCATTGACGAGATTCTCAATTTATTGTCAGACATTGAGAAATTTCAGGGATGCCTACAATTTGATTGCAGTTAAATATTTATGTACATACGAGTATGTGTGTTTCATGTTCATTTATTTGAAGTGTTTGTGTTTCCAAATGTGTCAAATTGATCCACGCTTTAAGCGTAGACGTTATTGGTTTGCTTACAGGCCGTTCAAAATAAATCAGCTCTCAAATTGGCCCAAAACTGCTATCGATTCTTCTATCAAGATTTTGGTGTCGAATTTCTATCAATACGAGGAGAGAGTATCAGTAAAATATTATTTCCATTACCATTGATCAACAATCATGATAAATACTTGATCAACAGGACAACTTGATCAGAGATCAAATCTACTACCAATATCGATAAGTACTGCGCTAATTATACCACCACGGTGGATACTATGTAGAAATTTGTCACCAGAAATCGTAGCAAACCAAAGGATATATTCCGGATAAAACAATGTTAGGCTGATAAGTACAGAAGAGATCTTTCTGGTATTCGGTTTTCAGTGAACCATAAGGAGAACCTTTCGGACAAAACTTTAGTGGCTGATGAGTGGTGAAGTACCCTCCAGCGTCTGTAGAGTTATCTTCTGTGCGTAGTAGGTTTCTCCACTGTGTGCCGTTCTACCCCATAGACACTGAGAGCGGACTATAGAATGTGATATATACACACAATATGGAGTGTACATGGAAGAGTACACAAAAGATCCAAGCTTGGATAAGCGCACCATTGGGCAATGGAATGTAAGTAGAAAACCGGACAATAAGAGACTCACACCATAGTCTAGCCAGGGGCCAGTCGTTCCGTAGGACTAGGGTGAAAGATACGGCTACCAATCTACGATACAGATAAGTGGGTCGACCCCGCGGCGGAGGAGTGCGTAAGGAATTGCGATGATGATGATGATGGGATGATAAGAAGGGTGTTTCAAAGAGTTGAACTTACCGTTATATTCGCATGGATGTCGTAACGCTTTCCGTTCTTATCGATGAACCTGCACAAGAGCTCGTCGACGCTGGAGTTGAGTATCTGAAAGCGTTCGTGATTCTTCGGGAAGATCTTCTCCAGAGTTTTGATTTCCTGCTTTAAGGTGTTAAGGCACGCCATATTGGCGGGCAAGGCAATTGGTCTAGTCTGATTTGGTCCGATGGTGCTGCTGTGGGCTGTCTGTAGTTTCTGCTCGCTCCCACAATGGAGGAGCTGCTGTCCCCCAGGTACGGGTATGGACGCGGAATCAACGATGACAGCAGCACACAACGCACACTACAATGGAAGACAACAACGAAAGAAAGCCAAAAGTCGCAGTCGCATTCGCAGAAGCAGTCGTTGACGCAGATAGTTGTATTTTTTACTTGCTGTCGTAGCAGAAATTATTGTTTGTGGCCCGGCTACTCGACTCCCTTGCTCCTCACCTTACTTATCTCACCGCACCACACCACACCAAACAACACCGTTCGAGTTCAGCCTTCTGCTGGTTCTCCTCCTTCTCTCATACACAACTGCCGCTGCTCTCGCCGTTTTTCGTCGTCTGTGTCGCTTTCGCCCTGTGTGCGATGAGGCTGCGGATGGTCGGCGATAGATGGCGTTTCGGCGCTGGCGCTGGTTCCTACTAAATTACAACAACAATGGTGACAGCTCTGTTCGTTGTTTTTTTCTTAGTTTTTTAAACTCTTTATTGCTGTAATTGCTGCAGTGTTGTTTTGTTATCGTTCGGAGGTAGATTATAGCAGTTGTTTGCTGGTTGCTGGTTCGTCTCCGTCTCCTTAACAGTCGCTGTCCTGCTCCACTTTTGTTTACTCCTCTCCGGCCTCTGCACCACTGTACGCTTCGGCACTCACACTGATGCTGCGGCTACTTCTTCTTCCTCTCCTGCGGCGCACAGCATGCGCTCTTGTGTGTGTGTGTGCGTCTCTCTTCTTTTGGCGTTCAGTTTTTTGCACTTTGATTTTGCTGCTTCCTTGCGGCTCGCCTTTCGTTACACAGCTTTGACTTTGACCAATGTCCTGGTCCCGGCTTCAATTCGAACTCTGCGCGTTTCTTAGGTATAAGTAAAATAAGACAGAGAAATAGATAGAGAGAGAGTGAGATGGGTAAGCACGTGTTTCACTCTAGCTAATAGTTTCTATCGCTTCAGTTTTAATTTCTGTAATAACAAAAACAACAGTTGCGTACACCCAAGCACACGCACACAAACACACATACACTTGTCATTGCACTGGACTCTCGCACATAAACACACAGTACCATGGTGTTACCTCTTTCTCTTTCGCACATTAAGCAGGCCTAACCTACGCAATGATCGAGCAGAAAGTTAAAAAAAAAACTGAACTTATAAACAATCAAACAAATTGTGCCAGAAAAAAATGTTGCTCTCGCTGGAGTCTTTCTTTCTCTGACTTTTTCTTTGATATTGTAACTACATTCATATGAATGTATGTATGTGCATACATATGTACATATGTAAATACAGAGATAATTTTTTGGCTGCGGACCGAATCCAAACTTCGTTTCAGACAAAATCGCAATTGTTACAGGAAAAATAAACTTTGAAAATGCCCGACGAAAGCTCAAAGCCACGACAGTCTGATGGGATAGAAAAATGATGGCGAAAGAAAATCCGTCCCAAAGAGGAATTGAAAGTCTGGCAGCCAGTTCGGTCTCAGCCCCGCCACTGTGGTCACACACACACACACACACACCCACAAACAAGCAAACATACATATCTCGCAGACTGTCAAAATCTCTTCGAGGCTCCACTGTGCGCTTGCGGCAGCTGAGAAGCCAGCTGCTGTCGTGCCGTATCATGCATAACCTTTTTTCCATTGGTTTTCAACATTGCATACACACACACACGCACAGATGGGTACACTCAATTTGTAAATAGCCTTTAATTATTTATCAATATTATGTCTCTGATGCACTCCAAAACTAGCTTTTGCCAAATGCCCCCACTCCCATCAATCCCATCCACTCCGCAGACAACGAGAGAGATGGAAAAGCACAGAACTCCTTTGTTTGCGTTTTATTGGCATTCTCTTGCATCCGCAAGAACACGGCGTAGCAGCAGACACACAAAAAGAAACAGTAACTCCTTTCACGCACCCCGAGAGTTTAGCACAACCAGTTCGAGTAATTTCCAAAACGCCCAGAGTATTACAACGGGCCAAAAATATGTAACTAAAGCCCACTAGCACAGGCCAAGAAAAATTGTACAAAAAAAAGAAAAAACAAAATAATTCACGCACACACCAACAAAATGTATTATACGAAGTTCCACGCACGTCCGCCCGCTTTACCTTTGCACCACCCCGACAACAAGACGACCTGATCATAGAGATGTGCTATCGCACCAGCCAGTCACACACGGCCCCAAAATTCTGCCACTTCCCCCATCGATTCATATGCCACTATCGATTGTTTTACGAAAGCAGCCCAGCAACCTCAGCTAATTGGAATACATTTACCTGTGTTTAATCGGGAAACACTTATGTAGTATATATGCATGTAGGCTTAAAATTCAGCTAGATTGCACAAATATATTCGTAAATTATGTGGTGATATTACGTGGAGGCTGTAGTTAGCAGCTGTGGACTCCTGCGCTCGGGTGATACGGATTTCTTGTTGTTATTATTTACTTGGCATGTTAGTGTTTTTGGTTCTAGCTTTTGTCAATTATTCGTTGATTGGGTGTTTGATATTGCACTTTGTATAACGATATCGTCTGCCATATGTGTAAGTATTTTGGCACAACTGCAATTTCTCGGAATTGTAATTTCCTCCGCGGACGTTTGCTTATTGAGATGTGTAATAACTAGGGCTGCACTGCCACTATCGATAGTTCGCAGCAATTTATCGCTGAAATTTCTCCGCGGGACGTCGGACTAGGGATGCAGCGTCACTTTTTAGTGACAAAATCACTTTTGCAGCTCGCAGAAATTGTATGGTGTGGCCAGGCGCAACGTGAATCATTGTGGAAATATTCAAACGTTTATTTAGGGTAGGGAACCAATATATGTACATATTATTTTCCTTCATGTAACAGCTATTACGGTACGGGCAATTGCATCTATAAAATACACTGAAAGGAGAGGATATCGAAGAAAATAAAAGAACGAATACAAAGTACTACTTCGGTTTCAGATTTATTATTTTTGAGCTTGTGTCCTAGTTGTGTCGCCTCTTGTTTATCCCATCCCCTACATACCACCTTCTACTTTCCCGTCCCATTCGTCTACTCCTTGGGATAGATAACGTACATAAATACATACAGAACGAGTATAATATTCATACATGCATATATACATCTAAACATGCACATATCGCAGATCGAAAAAGGACTAGCTTAAGAGCACAACGGAATGGTTTGGAATTGGATTTCGTTTGTTACATTTTAAATTTTGTGTTTTTGTTTTGTTTTATTAGATTAGAGATAGATTAGCATAATTAAACCCCGACTTTAGCTAATTTGAATACAAAAAAACCGTAGAAATAATTCTTGCCTGGCGCGAAATGTTGTGGTCCGGAGACATGGACCGATCGGATCCCCTACCCCCCAAAAATTAGAAATGTATTAGATTTTCGAATCCCCCTGAAGTTCGCTTCCGCATCCTGTTTGCCAGTTCCTTCCGTTGACCCATTCGGTCAGCGGCGTCCCGCAGCCCCCGCCCTATGTGCATTACGAACATCCATTAATCGCCAGGTCTCTCCCAGCACTTCGCGCCCTGCCTTTATCTACCCTTGTGTCGTCGGGCTTGGTTTAGAGTTCACTGTGTGGTGTCTTGGATTCAACTGTGGGCGTGGGTGTGACCTCCGGCTCGGCGTCCTCTGGCTGCTGCCCAGAGTTCTCCTTGGTTTGCTCTCCATAACCGCTGCCTGCAGCCTCTCCCTCCTTCTTCTCCTTCTCTTTGTCAGTCTCTTTGGGTTTCTTGTCCTTGTCGGCGACCTTGGGCTTCCAGATCTTGATTTTGTTCACCAGATACTTGACCTCGCGGTCCAGCAGGCTCATCTTGGCGGTGATTTCTTTGACGGACAGGCGAATGTCGGCATTGCGTGGGAGCTTCTTTTGGGCGGCAGTCTCAGTCTTGAGCCAGGCACTGCTCTCTTCGATGGCCTTGGCGAGGGTGTCGATCTCCACTTGGGTGTACACGTCTTTCTCGGGATTGGTGTCCTTGGTGAGGTTACGGGCGGTGACCAGGAACTTCTCGGCGCCGTCGAGCATGCCCTTAAGGGCCTTGGTGGCCTCGGGCCGTTCTTCGTGCTCCCAGTGACGGGCGAGGAAGACATTCGAGAGCTTCTTGAGCTCGTGCAGCTTGTCCTCGTAGATCTCCGCCTTGGGATCCTCGAGATCCTCGTACAGCCACTCGGAGAGCCTGCTGCATTCGGCCAGGAGCTTCTCCTTTTCCTTTGCAGTAGCACAGCTCTCATAGCTATTCTCACTCAGCTTCTGCTGCACCTCGATGATGTGCGACTCGAGGGAGTTGAAGGCGGACTCGAGGCGCACACGCGCCTCCTCGATCTTGTTGATGGCCGTCAGCTTGGCCAGCGAGCTGTCGTAGGCGGGCCCGGAAAGATTGGCCACAAACAGCACATGGGTGCTGTGGGCCACGGGAGCCTTAACGGTTACCAGCTTAATGGCGCCCGGCTTCTCCTTGGCCTCGCCCTCTGGGTCAGAGTCCGCAGTCTTCTTCTCCTTCTCATTATCCTTCTGCTCAGCCTCAGCAGGCTTCTCAGTCTGGCTGTCTTCTGTCTTGGGAGTTTCACCTGCGCCAGCGCCTGCTCCTGCCGTTGCCTCCTCGGGCCCAGCCTCGTCCTTGATGTCATCGGTTGAGTCGTCCGCCGTGTCGGATTTCTTGGTGAAAAGCTTGCTGATGGTACTGCCCAGCTTGGCCAAGGTGCTGTCTTCGTCGGCGTCGTCTGGCTTCTGCTTGTCGTAGATATATTCGACGCCGGTGCAGCGGACGATGCCCGAGTCGTTGAGCTCGAAATATGCCTTAATTCCCTTGTTCTCGACCAGGTCCTTCTTCAAACTCTCCAGCAGTTCCTTGACCTGCCTGATTTCCACGCGCGTAATGTTCAAGCTGCCGATGAATGCGACCGTCTCCTGGCTGTAGCGGTCCAGGTCGCCATAGTTCACAAAGAACTCAAAGTCGTCCGAGTGCTTGTTGAAGGTGATCACCTTCTTCTGGGGATAGGGATTCATCAATCCGAACAGGACTCGCTTAACCTTCTTCGCAGAAACGCCATCTGCGGCCACGCTGTCGAAGACCACTTGGAGGGGATAGAGTACGGCGTCCTTGACGACAAACTTCTTTACCTTGAAGCCCGCGGATAGATCGGCCGCCTTGTAAACAGCCCCCATGGTGGCCGACTCGTCGGCATTAAGATTCTTGCCCAGCTCCTGCTTGATCAGAGCCTTGATGGTCTCCTGGACACGGGGCACGCGCGTGCCACCACCGAACAGAATCACTTGATGGATCAGGTCGAGGCTGAGATTGGACGAGGCAAGGGCCTGCTCTAGAGGCTTGGTGGTGCGTGGCCATAGATCCGCACAGATCTCCTCCAGCTTCTCGCGAGACACCGGCAGCTTGAAGTCAATGTCCTCCAGGAGGTTCTCAATCTGGGCATAGTGGTCGTTGTTAGCTGACAGCACATTCTTCAGCCGACCAGCCTCCTTGAAAAGCTTAGCCAGGGCTCGGGGGCTTTTGGTCACATCCGTCTTGGTCTTCTTCAGCGCATTGAACTCGGTGGCCAGATAGTCGCGCAATCGCAGCTGTATCTCCAGACCGCCCAGCGTGCGATCGAATCCCACGCCCAGCACCTGCACCACGGGATTCGTCTCCTTAGTCTGCTTGTCCTTCACCAGCTGGTAGCTCACGACAGCCGCTGACGTCTTGTAGGCACCCATGTCGTAGAACAGATAGTACTGGGCCGTCTCGTTGATCTCGCCGCGATGGAAGACCCCGTAGTTGAGGGCCACCGCCGCGTAATCGTTAATAAGCTGCAGCACCTTAAGGTTGGCCAGTTGTGCGGCGGCCAGCAAAGCCTCCCGCTCAGCCTGGCCAAAGTAGCCGGGCACAGTGAGGACACACTCGGCTATTGACTGCTGTGTCGATATTTGGGCGTACTCCTTGGCCTTGACCAACATTTGGGCGACGAGCTCTTCCACGGAGAACTCCTCGGTGTCGCTTTTCTTGAACACCACCGTATTGCGTTCCGGATCGCCGACAATGTTGTAGTAGGGGAAGCGTTTTCTGTGGTTGTCGGAAAAAAGTTCCATTAAAAAGTTTCCTCTAAGGCTGGCAATCATTCACAATCAATCCCATCGTCATTCAAGCTATCACGGCCCTTAAGCACTGACGTGGCCCAAAAGCCGCACACACGTACACACGCACACATAAGCAAAAGCAAACACAAACAGAGGCAACCACTTACCGGTAAAGGTCCACAATGGGATTATCGATGGTCTTGCCGAGTAGATCCAGCAAATAGCCGTATGCCGAAGACGGATCACGAATGCCAATGGTCTGGGCATCCTCACCAACGGTGCGAGCGCCATCGCGCAATGCGATTATGGCCGGCGTCTTGCGCTTGGACTCAGGGTTCAGAGCAATCTCCATGGGCACACCCGGCGAGACGACGCCCACCTTCATCCACTCTGTGCCCAAATCCACGGACATAACAGCAGCCGACTGGGCAGAGGGCAGATGCAGCACACCCACAAGAACGGCAACGACACACAGCATGGAAATCTGTGTGAGCGACGAGCGGCCCGGACTCGCTAGCAGCTCCATTTTTCTGCACGGAATTACAAAAATTATAAATTTATGCAGACTTAACCACATGGATGGGGAGAGCAATAACCTTTTTATTTATTTCCACCTACTTCTTGCGCTATTCTTTTACTCTTTTTCTTTTTTTTTTCTCTTTTGCAACGCAAGCAGCTGTCGGAACACCGCTCCGCTCACTCTCCCTCACACTGTTCCGATTCAATCGTATCGCTTTTTTAAAGTAGTTTTTACTTACGTGTCGGTTTTGGTTGGCCTGAGTCGTCAGACAGTAGAGTCTGTGGGATGTGTGCGTCGATTGGAAACGAATGTTTTATGTCAATTGAAGATCCGCAAAGCACATCAATAATTTAACACTTAGGCGAAAGAGTCGCGCCGACGTTCAGGTGTTGAGCGATGAAGAAGAAGAAATCGTTGACGTGTTGATGTGTGATAGAATATACCGCATGAAACTCAGAAATATACCGAATTATACCTTTCCATTTTCATAATATACCGTAAGTATACCGAGGAATATCATATTTCTCAATGTTGATATTCGATTACATATTAAAAGCTAGTTAGAAATCTCACCACTAAACATATAATTTTATCCGATTGATGAATCGATTTTCTACAAGATTGGATAATATTAATAACTACCTTTTACTGGATTCCTTAAAACTAAGGTTTAAACAGAGAAGGTCATCCAATATTTCCCTTTTTTACATGGTAACTACACGGTAACTACACATTTGCTACATAACAACAAAATTTTTATGGAGTACGAAATGTTTTATATCCTAATAACAACAAAAATATGTAGATCAAAAATCAAATTTTGGCGCAAATATGTTATGGTTGTGCAAGAAGGTAAAAATATACATAAAATCCTTAAATAAAATGCTTTAAACTGATTGTATTATTATCATACGACATTATTGTGACATTACCCCTGGGGCCATTAAGATACTGCTGGAGAAGAACTTCTAGGGTTTTCATGGTTTAAAGAAGAACTCCCACAAACTATACAAAGAAATGTTTAAAAATAATATATAACGAGAAGGAACGTGTGAGTCGCTTCTGGGGACGCGACTCTACTTACATATACCCGTACTCAGTCAGTATATACATTTTTGAGCTTATGATTTTTTAGAATTATTGAATTAAAAAAAAAAATGTTACATATTGCATTTTTTTGCTGCATCTGTTATCTACATCTACTTTGTATATTATACATCTAAAATTTAGATCCTACATATACCATTTAGATTATACATCTCCGCTAGAGGGCGCTCGCGCACTTCCCAGGGCAGAGTGTGTGCGAGCGAGAAAGAGAATGAGTAGCCTCTTGCAGGAGGAGGCTGGGGAAGCAACTGAAAATTAAATTAATTTTTTTTCTTGCTATAATTATGATCCGATCTGATTCAGATATATACCGAGGAGAAAAAAATCTAAATTAGCCCCGCTCTATTTAAACAGTTGAACACCTTGAATAAAACCGCGGAAAAACAGTTTCATAATGTTCCTGCGTACATTAAAATACTCACTGGTCGACAATGGGTTAAGCGTTCTCGGTAATGATCGGAAATCATACTCAACAATTTTGATATAATTTATTGAACATATAATTTTATCCGATAGATAAATCAATTTTCTACAAGATTGGCTAACTTTGAGGGCTCCTTTTTATCGAATTATTTATAATTATTATATACATTTATTTATAAAATAATACTTTAAAAAAAACGGCCAAAGCATATCGATGACATAACGATATAAGAACAGAGCTGCAAAATATTGGCTTAAGGCGCCTAACTTTGAATGTTTATTTAAAAATTCTTTTTTTCGCTTAATTGAAAATGTAAATGAAAAAGTTTTGTTGAAGACAATAATTTAACCCACATATTGACGCCTCAGCATTCCAACACTGACCGATTTAAATATTTTTACGTGCACACATATTTATGTGCATACATACATATATGTACATATATGTATGAACATATTGCTGACACAGAGAAAGCATATTTTTACGTTGTCTGCTTTTTACCTGTTCAACAATTCTTGGATCGGTCATGCAACTACTCATTTATAATGAAAAACAAACACAAAGAGCAGAAGAAAAATACACCCTACAAATATTCTGTATTCTCTAAATGCATAATTTTGTATGATCAGAAAAATCATGATCATATTAAATATATAATTTCTTGGGAAATGTAAGCGATAATCTTTTAATAAACTGCAGATTTAATGTGTATTTGGCTAAGCTTTAAATGAATGATGAAGAATACAAATACTAAATGCACTTTTTTCGGGCTCACAATGTTTAAAAATGTACGTGGAAGTTTCGAAAAACAGTTTTCTAAGTTTTGAGGTAATATTATTTTATACTCATATTTCGAATGTAAATATGCATGTCAGTCACCATTCGCAGCATACCCACGTTCTCATATGAATAACTAACAGGGTATGAAACTGGTCTACTTGTGATTTTGTACCGAAACGCCGAGTCAACCATTATTGTTTGAAGTGAAATGACTTTGAAAAATGATCGATTCTAGCGAATTTAAATATAATCAAGCCAGATTTTCACTTGCGAAATTTTCGAGATTTCGAAATTTTTGCTGAATTGTTCGCTTTTTGTTCATATAAGAACTGCCTTGCCACCTGATTTCAGTTTACATTTTTAGATCGACCAACGAGCATGTGCGGACCGCGTCTTCCATCACTCCTGGCAATCGGATGCCTGTTGGCCCTGGCCTCAGCGGAGTCCCTGTCCGACTATTATCGGCAGGACTTCGAGGACTTGCCCATCCCCGAAACCGAGTTCGATGAACGTCCCGCGCGATCGTCGTCAATTCCTGCTCAAGCATATGCCGCACCCGTAATCTACAATTCTCAATCTAGCTACTCAGCACCTGCGGCTCCAAGCTATTCAGCACCTGCGGCTCCAAGCTATTCAGCACCTGCAGCTCCAAGCTATTCAGCCCCGGCCACTCAAAGTTATTCAGCACCGGCCACTCAAAGTTATTCAGCGCCTGCGGGTCCTAGCTATTCAGCACCTGCCGCTCCAAGTTATTCGGCACCCAAGTCTTCTTATTCATCATCAGCACCGTCATCATACTCGGCCCCCGCATCATCAAGCTATTCAGCACCTGCTGCTCCAAGCTATTCAGCACCTGCCGCTCCAAGTTATTCAGCACCAGCCGCTCCAAGTTATTCAGCGCCTGCGGGTCCTAGCTATTCAGCACCTGCTGCTCCAAGCTATTCAGCACCTGCCGCTCCAAGTTATTCCGCACCGGCCACTCAAAGTTATTCAGCGCCTGCGGCTCCAAGCTATTCAGCACCTGCTGCTTCAAGCTATTCAGCACCTGCCGCTCCAAGTTATTCAGCACCCAAGTCTTCTTATTCATCATCAGCACCGTCATCATACTCGGCCCCCGCATCATCAAGCTACTCAGCACCAGCCGCTCCAAGTTATTCAGCACCTGCAGCTCAAAGCTATTCGGCACCTGCGGGTCCTAGCTATTCAGCGCCTGCGGCTCCAAGTTATTCAGCACCTGCCGCTCCAAGCTATTCAGCACCAGCCGCTCCAAGTTATTCAGCACCAGCCGCTCCAAGCTATTCAGCGCCTGCGGGTCCTAGCTATTCAGCACCTGCCGGTCCAAGCTATTCAGCACCCAAGTCTTCTTATTCATCATCAGCTCCGTCATCATACTCGGCCCCCGCATCATCAAGCTATTCAGCCCCTGCCGCTCCAAGCTATTCAGTACCTGCCACTCCAAGCTATTCAGCACCAGCCGCTCCAAGTTATTCAGCGCCTGCGGGTCCTAGCTATTCAGCACCTGCGGCTCCAAGTTATTCAGCACCAAGCCTTCTTCATCATCAGCACCGTCATCAGACTCGGCCCCCGCTCACAAGCTATTCAGCGCCAGCCGCTCCAAGTTATTCAGCACCTGCCGGCTCCAAGCTATTCAGCACCTGCGGGTTCCAATTATTCAGCACCAGCCGCTCCAAGTTATTCAGCGCCTGCGGGTCCTAGCTATTCAGCACCTGCCGCTCCAAGTTATTCAGCACCCAAGTCTTCTTATTCATCATCAGCACCGTCATCATACTCGGCCCCCGCATCATCAAGCTACTCAGCACCAGCCGCTCCAAGTTATTCAGCACCTGCAGCTCAAAGCTATTCGGCACCTGCGGGTCCTAGCTATTCAGCGCCTGCGGCTCCAAGTTATTCAGCAGCTGCTGCTCCAAGCTATTCAGCACCAACCGCTCCAAGTTATTCAGCGCCTGCGGCTCCAAGCTATTCAGCACCAGCCGCTCCAGCGTATTCCGCACCGAAATACTCTGGCTACGCCCGCATGGGAGATATGCTGGGCTCAGCGAGAACTGCTTACGGATCCGCCTCGGCCGGCTACGGAGGATCTCCATCCGCGGTCTCCATTCCCGCTCAGCCCTGTCCCAAGAACTACGTTTTCAGCTGTCAGAGCGTGTTCCAGAAAGCTCCTTGCAGTCAAGGCTCTTCTTACTAAGAGAATTTCGTTATGGCATTATAGAGAAATAAAAGCAATAAAGTTGAAGAGAACAAAATGTAAGTTATTTCGCACCTCATTCCCAATCACAAAGTGAATTTTTGAAAAGGGATGCTTTTCCCAGGGCCAGCTTTAGGGCAAGGTACCACTCTTGTCAGGTGGGCAATAGAGAGAAAGACTATCTGGACTATTTTTATACCCGTACTCAAAAAGAGTTAATGGGTATATTAGATTTGTGGTAAAAGTGGATGTGTGTTACGCAGAGAAGGAAACATTTCCGACCCCATAAAGTATATATATTTTTGATCTTTCTGTTGTTCTAGTTGCTTCAATCACAAGAGATTTTGTGCTAACCTGGCCGTTATTAGGTGTTGAACTTTAAGTTGAAATGCAATATGCATTGCCGCTTTGAGTCAGGTGTATGGACTCCGCGTTACCCACCCAACCATGTTAGCTACTGTTCATTATTTAAGCGTTAGCCCTCATGTGTTATATGTTCCTTTTCTCAATACCCCATTACAATTCGTATACTCCATATTTCTCAAAACAAATCCTCAATATATTTTCTCAATAAATTACATGGTTTCAAAACTAAAGACCAGAATAATAGGTAAATCAATAAAGATGGATATGTACATATGTATGTAGGTTAAACGTTGATGTATGGATAAAGAAAATCTAGAACAAAGCATTAATATGATGACTTACGAATTTCATTCCATCGCTGCATTCATTCCATCGCTGGTGAGGCTAGCAACGATGCAGTGCTCTTTAATAATGTTTTTCTCTTTTCGACAAAATAACAAACTTTTTTTTTCCTCAAGGATGCAAACCGACTTTTTCTGATATATGGGGACTTTAAATTTTTTTAAAGAAGTTCTAGGCGTTTTCTTTTCCTATCCCACCCACGCTTCTGAATCACAAGGTCTGGATCATAATCTTATTTAATCTTTTTCTTCTAGAGGTAAGCTAGCTTGTCCCACTAAAGCTTTCTACGCATCTTACAGCTGGTGCTACAGTTTGTACTTGAAAAGATAATTAAAACAGCTAGAATTTAAGCCGTCACAACAGATTGTGAGTACAGCTAAATATTCGTCTGTATATAATAAACATTGAAACGCAATTAGCACGACTTTCTTGTTGGTGTCTATTACTAAATTTTCTTTAGAAAAAAAAAAACACTGGTAGCAAAAAAAACCCCTATATACAGTTCCAACTTTTTTTAGGTGCCTTACTTTGCTTGATAAGCATATTCAAATAAAATCTAGGAGTACTTTAGCAAAATGCGTTAACTAAACCTTCGAAATGAAAAATAACTATAAAATACCTATGGTTCCAATATTTATTTCGAACCAATTGGGAACAAAACAAAGCAACGAATTATCATGTACATACATAAATCATCATTTTTGCATTTCAATGCTTTATATCCCCATAAGGGTTACCTGAAATCACGAATACCTTTTATCTGTTAACTTCTAGCTGTTTTAATTATCTTTTCAAAATAGCAAAAGGTTCGTTTAGCCAACTTAAGGATTATTGTTTAACTTATTGGCGAATAATAATAAATAATACCAAAAATTGAAAAATAGCTTCAAAAACCAAAATTCCAGTTTTCAAACCCTTACCATGTCTTTGACAAAAAATTATTCATATAAAAAAAAAATATCATCAAACCTTCTGCCCCAAGATTAATCTTTCACGAAAAATTTGATGTTTTTCCTGAGGAAAAACTCGTGTAATGGACTCGGTTATTAATGCTGGTTAGTCAATTAACTGTCCTTCATCGATCATTTGATAGCTCGCCCGCCTTTAATGCAAATCTCTGTATCTCTGGATAATCTAATAAATTCCAATCCCCAAGTTTATTTTTAGTTGTAAACCGCCCAATTGTCCCTAATTAATCGCATTACCTTCTCCATTCTGCGTTACAGAATCCTCGTTCTCCAGGATGCACATCCTTGCGGCAGACTTTGTCGGTTCAAAAGTTGCGTTCATTTAACGTAGATCTCAAGATAAAAATGCTCCCAAGAGGTAGACGTGTGAGCGTAAAGCACTAGTTAAATGAAATACATGGAATTTGTTTATGGTTTTCTTATAGTTTATTTGCAAATCCTTCTCTTGCGTCCTTCGCTAATGAATTATCACACTAAAAGCAACTGATAATAAATGAGTACAATTATGTATATATGTATGTATGTATATGTATCATATATAAATACGATCTATCCTCTATGTATGTATGTATGTATTTCTTATGTGTGAGTGTGGATGTTTTGTATATTCAGTACGCATGTACATGCATACATACATATTCATGTATGTACATTTGTTCCTTGTCCCCCTTTCCCAGCCCTTTCTTGATTTCTCCGTTTCTTGCGGTCTATATATTTCTTTAAAAAGCACTTATGTATCCTTAAATCAGCAATAACTACATACATAGCTCTACAGGTGTACATATATACATATGTATATAATTATATTGTATGTATACATATATAAATACTATATTTATCGCTTCGTAGCTAAATCATTTGCAGAATGAATGTTTTCTCCAAACAAGACGAAAAGGATAATTTGTTCAAGTCTCAGCTTGCGCGTCTTTTATTTTTGATATTATTTTCTATCAATAAACAAATTAATTATAAATCGATATGCATACACATGCATATGTGTGAGTGTATGTATGTACATATGTATGTTCTAGCGACTGGTCCATAGATTAAGAGGTATTATTCAGTTGGCAAATCATAAGTCTTAGGCTTAAGTCAGGCTCTTTGTTCCCTCAATGGTGCACCTTCTGGAAAACGAACGTCTGTCTGTCTGTCCCCTCCCCGGATCGATTCGAGACTGTAACGGTATCTTGATAAAATGCGTTTCGGAATTTCTGGGCTTGAGGTGGGTGGAGTGGATAATCGAAAGCATCTAATATCGGATAACGCCAATCACGGGTCCAGATTAAATGAATTAATCGCACAAGGCGAGCGCAGCTATCCAACTAACAGTATCCAGTAACAATTATTTAATACTTACACACATAAGGCCATTGGTGGAACCTTTAATAGATTAAGCGCATTTACCATGAGATTAATTAAGTGATTGATTTGATAGAATGAAGTCTGATATCGAATGAACGCTAACGACAATCTATCGAATAAGGCCACTAGCGGATTATTTAAGTTATCTATTGGGATTTGTTAAGCAATTTTAATTTAAATCGATCATTGATTCGTTTGGACCAGTGTTGGAGCTAATTACATATATTATTGGCAGTTTTATGTACCGTATCGCATTGATGTATATATGTACATATATACATATATATATCATTTGGATTCTCTCATCGAATTTGACGCACCGTACCGTTTTTACCTTCAGAAGATCCCCCCATTGAATAAAGTAGACACACAAAAATACATACATATGTATGTACATATGCAGATCCAACAGCATGGAATTTATAGATATTTTTCCGAGAACGCAGACTGCTGACTGCTGAGGCTCAATGCCAAACAACGAAGCTCTCCTCCCAAATGGGGTTCAAGCTCGAGGTGCGATGGGGGAGTGCGATGAACGAGCGCGACATTGGCCAAAAACCGAGGCTAGAGACCTATCTATAAACCAGAGTTCGTTGCTCGCCCAGCGATCCAAAAATTTGGCATTCAAAGCGGAATAGAGCAACAACAACAAAAACAAGGAAGGCTAACTTTGGAGGCCGAAGCTAAAGATTTTTTTGCAGATCTGTCTTTCCCATGGTCTCAGAATCTACTAAAACTACGACTAAGGGAATGATTGTGTGGCAAGCTTCAGGTTAAAATTTTAATGCCCTCGAAAGGGATATAGAAATCATACAGGGTAGCTCCGTGTTCCACCTTTTTGAATTTCAGGTGCTCCCGTTTCGCAATCTTCGCAAACTACAATTTAGTGTACTGTTCCCACAAAATCCCCTGCTATGTGTAACAGATATTTTTTTCTGATGTTTCATAGCATTATTTCAGAGAACATTTTTGAAGCACAAATAGGCGCAAGCTAAAAATTGCTCTGGTAATAGTGTCAATTAAATTTTAATGCATCAATAAGCTATCTTTTTTGTTTTGTTTTATAAAATGCCATTTACTTTTCATTTCAATGCGAAAAACTTTGTCCGTTAAAAAAAAAAATAATCCGCTTTTTGCGAAAACGGGAGCATCAAATTGTGCGATATTTGTAAAACTTGTCACAAGTAAATCGATAGGTTTTTACGAAATTAAAAACCGGAGCTGCTTTATAATATATTTAAAAACGGAACGGAATGCAGTCAACGGAACATTTCAGTGCGAGTGTGTGTTATTGTGTGCTTTGTTTTGTTGCTCACTTTGCTCTTCAATAAATGTTGACCCCCAAAAATGTATAAGCAATACAAAAGTAACCAGCTTAGCCCTGAGCTAGGTCAGCAGCCGCAGACAACCGCAACGGATGATCGGATGATCTCACATAGCGAGCGCCAGGGAAACGATAACGCAATGATTTCGCTCACATAAAAGAAGACCCCATGAGGCAGAAAACTTAACTGGGAAACGGAATGATGCAAAATCAGAAAAACATAAGCAAACAAGAAAATTATATATGCTAAAATTGGGTAAGCATGAAAGAATAATACGTGGAAAAGCACAAGTCTACCAACAATCGAGTGGAGAAAACGATAATTCAATAATATATTCAATATCCAACTAAACATTAAAGAAATTAAAAAATGCATTTCTTTTTTTTTTTGGTAATTTTTTGTTGTTTTTTTATAATTTATTTTGCCGTTGCAGCGCAGGGTTTTGAATGCTTAGTGGATCCACAACACGATCAATATAGGTGATCGGTCAGAGTACCATATGTATGTGTATAGCGTGTATAGGAATATTAACTAAAAATGGAAATACATATGCATAAGGTTCACTCTAGTTGTACGTACATAGGCTAAGTAATTCTGCTAGTTAATAACACAAAATAATATTAATAGTTGTAATCGTATCTAATAGTAAAGCATAATTGTAGAATTATAAAAAAAAACTTAATTAAACAAAATATTTCAATAGGTAACAGAGATAAATTGAATCAGAGTTTGGGGGCTATGGTTCTCTAGGGTTCATGTCCCTGATACTATGTATACCCCTGGCAGTCGGTCCGCTCCATGGAACTTTAACTGTTCTTCGAGCACTCGTATGGGGTTGCTAGTTTTTTCTCTCAGCCTAAGATGAGCTCCCCCATTCGGTGCATCTTCTCTTTATACCCTTAACATTCATGAGGGAACAGAGCCGATGCGAAGACGTAAAATGAAAACAAACGCGAAAAAACCGCGGAATAGAGAAACGAAAACGAAAGCTTAGGCGAGGCGAGGCAACTAATAGAAAATTCGCAAAAAAAAAAAGGAAAGATTATTTATATACATATCTGTATACATTATGTATGTATGTATATAAAATCAATGAAAGCCAGGCGAGCGAAAGTTGCACAAGAGAGAGATTAGATTCTCTCTGTCTCTTCTCTCGGAAAGAAAGTGCAACTCTCCCGTTTCTGCCTCTTGCTCTTTAGAAATATTTTGTTTGTTCACTAATACTAATAATAAATGTTAATTTTATACATATATATCATAATATTCATGATTTTCTGCATTTAAATTTTTTTTATATTATTTTTCGTGGTTTGTTATCTTTTTTTCTTTTAATAACATTTTGTGGTTGTTTCCCTTTTTCTTTAGTCAAAAAAACTTAAATATTCTATCACAGCCATCTCACTTTTTTTCGAAAAAAAAAATGTTTGTTTCTTTACCTTATAAATATTGTTGCTTAATTTTTGTGTAAGAATTAATATATCTTAAGATTATGTTCATATTTGTTGTTAATTTGCTTGATTTTCGCTTAAATCTTAAATCTTTTTTTGAATGCACTTTTGTTGGTTTTCTTTCTCAATTTTTTTTGTATGTTTGTTTTGAGGCTTGCTTCCATATTTAAAAAAATTCTAATTGCACTTTTTTGTGTTTTTTTTTTGTTTGCTTGTGTGTTTGTTGTTTTTTAATTGTTAAATTGCTATTTTTAATCAACATTGTTGCAGGTGTCCTCAAACATTTTGCTTTACATATACTCAATCTTGTGATGATTTTTTGTTTAAAAATTGGAGGAAATAGTAGATTAAAACTAAACCAATTCGAACCAAAAATTCTTTATCTTTTTTGTTGTAATTTACACAATTGAAACCATTTATTGTTTTTTTTTTGTTTTGTTTTTTTTTGTGGAAATTTTGTGGGTTTCTCAACGAAAACTGTTCTCTTTCGTTTAAATTTAGTGACTAGGAGAACGTCTTCTATGCCTAAACATACATATGTATTTATGTATATATCCTTGAGATGTATACAAATAATGTTGCATAAAATAATTTTTAATTTATGAAATGAGTGTTCGGAACAAAATTCAGTTTAGTTCAGGTAATATGCGAGAGACTCCAGGGAAATGTCAGTGTGTGGAAAATGGGTGCAAAGAAAGGGAAGCGGAGAATCTACTGGGCATAGCCTGGAATGTGCTTGACCTTTGATTGATTGTTTGAAGTTTTTGATCGGAAGTTGATGCTGAATGGAGCTCTCTGCGTAACCAAAACGGAAACAAACTATTTTCTTATCTACATGAATATATATATTTACATATGTATGTATGTATGTATGTATATACATATGTGTGTATGTGTATGTATAAGGAGATATACAGTGAAGCTTACAATTCTGTTGCTCTCTTTAAAAAAATAATTTGTATGTTTTTGTTTTGTTTTTTGTTTGTTTTTTTGTTTTTTGTATTTTTTTTCTCTTTCTTTGCATTTTGACTACAAATTCTTTGATTTTTGTTATACTCTTTTTTCATTTGTTGTCTCCATTTGTTCTTTGTTCTCTTTATATGTAGTTATCTCTTCCTGCTTTCCATTTCTTTAACGCTTTTTCTTTGATTAATCTTATACAATTTTTGATGTTTCTTTGTACAATCCGCGAGATGCCGCCTGCTCGTGGCTGGCTCGCTCTCTCTCTCTGTGGCGCCACCATTTGCTCGCAATGAGTCATAATGGCATCTCGCTCGCTCTCACTAGTTGATAGTAGTAACCTAGAGTGTGTGTGTGTGTGTGTGTGTGTGTGTGTACGTATACACCCTCACGGGTGTACCGCTTGAGTAAGTGTGCCTTACATAACGTAACCCTTTGCCTGCTCCTCCGCTCTCTGCTCTACGCTCTCCGCTCCTCTGCGTACTTGTCGTCATCTTCCAGAGCGATTACTGATACTTTCATGTCTCCAGCGAGGTGACCACCAGATTGTGAAACACACTCGCCGACTCGCTCATCATGGCCGCCTGGCCGCACGAGTCACTGGCGCCGCTGGGAGACGTGGGCGTGCCCAGGCGCAGGGCATCCATTATCACTTCAAAGTCCTTCTGGTTCTGGTTCATGTCGAAGTCGACCAGCTCCAGATGGTGATGGTGGTGGTGGTCAACGGACAGCTTGTTGCGCTTGCTGCTCGGACTGTCCATGGAGGCGCCAGCGCCCGATCCAATGCCCATGCCCATTCCCATGCCCATGCCCATGCCCATGCCCATACCCATGCCGACGCCCATACCCATGCCCATGCCCATGCCCAGTCCGACGACGTCCAGGGGGCAGTCCTCGATAGCGGAGATGAGGCGCTGCGGCGGTATGTAGAACTGGGATAGGGCTTCCCGCACCAGCCGGTCGCTTTCGTCCTCGCTGATGCTGTTGCTCCTCATTCGCTTGCGGGAAGCGGACAGGGAGGCCTTCTCCAGTTGCTCCGCCCCCTGGGTGATCTCCGGGTCAATGAGCAGCATGGGCGCATTGATGGCGCTCAGCTCGCGGTCGAGTATCTCCAGGTCGTTCACCAGATTGCTGCTGGACAGATTTCGCTTCCGGACCGCCGCCGTGTCGGATTGCGCGGCAGCGGCGGCGACAGAGGCGGGCGTGGCCGGCTGCTGGCGCATCGGCTGGTTTTCGATGGAGCACATGGTGCGGCCCGTGGAAGAGCAGTCCCCGTATTGGGATTTGGCGTTGCTGTTGATGTTGCTGCTGCTGCTGCTGTTGCTGTTGTTCGGCTTGGCATCGTCCATGTTTGGCTGGAAGAGATTCTCACGCGCCAATTCCGGACTTCGGCCGTCAGTTCTGCACAGAAAGAGAGAGAAAGTGAAGGGAAAGTTAGTCAAGAGTTGGGCACAAAACACACACAGAAAACATGGGGGGAAATTTCACGGCTGCAATTTTGCGGCTTCTGCTTCAATCTCAATTGAAGGAAGGAAGAACCCTTTTCCGATTTCCAATCTCCCGAAAGTCTTCAGGTATTAATCTGATATGGAACATCTATCGTAGTTCTTATCGATTATTAAATAATTCCTCGAGCATCGCATATCCCATATCCCATACATAGTACATACATATAGTATATTTCTACAAAAGTCGATAGCCCATCAATCGTTTCCTCTAATCAATCAACGTCCCTGTCCCTGTCCCTTCTTCCCATAAACATTGTCAGCACACCCTCCCAGCAAGCTGGAAGCCTGACATCAGCTCCGTTTATTTGATTCTTTGGTAAGGACTCTGGGCTAAGGGGTGAGCGGTAATGGGGCCATGGGGCCATGGGGCCATGGGGCCATGGGACCATGGTTGCAAGCGAAGTTTGGGGTCGTCTCCGCTCTTAATTAACTGGGCCAACTGTGTGTGGCACTGCCGTCCGTGGCTTTGGTGACCAGCAGCGAAGTAAATTTCAGTTAATTTCTCTTTCAATAAAAGCCAACAGCAACAACTGTCTACCAAGCGATTCCACACCTCCAACCCTCCCCATATACACATAGAGCCGGGGAGGTGGAAAAATCCAAAGTAACAGAGCAAAGAAAAGGCAACCTCGGCGCTTCGACGTTGTTGATACTCTCCTGCTGGCCAATGGATCTATTATATGACAGTTGCTATAATTACATCGACTTAATCTACATACTCCAATGATGCAAATTCTCTGTACAAGTTTCCCATTGGCGAACGGACACATTAATTTAGAATGAAGCGCGTGATTCGGGATGAGTCCCGTTTTCTACGAAGAAAATCGCCAGGGAAGCCAGAAGTAAGGGAAACACCCACAAAATAATATTGTTCAAAGAAGGTGGAAGAAACAGTCGCGCTGATAGGTGGCAGGGTGGCAGGGTGGCGGGTGTTGGGTGGCAGGTGGGTATGCTATGGAAGAGGGCTGGGGGTCAGGTGGTGGGGTGGTGGGGTGGTGGGGTGAGCACGCATTAAAATGCGCACCAGAGCATGTCAATTTTGACTATTAAAGCGAAGCAGCAGAAACAGCAGCAGCAACAACAGTTACAACACAAGCAATAACTGACAGAAATAATGTGGCAGCAGAGAGGAGCGGGCGCGGGAGCGCTGGTGTATGCCATGGGTACGCGCTTCAAGGGTGGGCTGAAGGAAAGTGGAAGCGAAGGCAATACATGCATACATACATATGTAGGTGTGTAGCGAAACAACAACAAAACACAACAAGAAAAAAAAAGCGAAAGTATGAAGGAATCTGTGCAGCAACAAAACGAAACAGAGGAAGAAGCAAAACCAAAAGCAACAGTGAAATACGAAAACAAAACAAAAATTGCTCGGCTTATAGAAACCAAAAAAAAAAAAACCAGAAAGCGTACAACAGAATCCGTGTACAGGCGGGGGGGAAGCGGCATAAGAAGAAGAAGAAGACAGCTAGAGGTAAACGAAGAGGGAACAGATAGGAAAGAGGGGCATAGAAGAGGGAGGCATTCCCCATAATCGAATTGCATATTTTCTTCAGCCACTTTCAATGCGTGACACAAAGAGAGCGGAGAGCGGAGAGAAAGAGAGCGGCGACTATGATGTGAGCCACTCTCTTGGCAATGCCAAAGACAGTGTAAGAGAGACCCCTCCAGGTGGTGGCCCAGGTGGAGGGGCCAGACACCAGCAGCCAGCGGAGCCAGCGAGCCAGCAAGTGAAAAAAAGTATGTTAGTTTCATTGTTGCTTTTGTTGCGTTTAATGCTTGTTGTTGGCCAAACGAAAATGGGAGCAACCGAAGCGGCAGCAGCAAGAGCAACAACTCGAAATTGAAGCCACTGTCGAAGCCCACAACGAGAAGCTCTACATATGTATGTATGTATGTATGTATGTAGATGGTTGGGGAGGGGGGGTCATAATAGACGAAGACGCAGACGAAGAGGAGCGCAGCTGACTGACCAAATGAGGTGCCAAAAGGCAGACCAAAGCAGGAGAGTGTGGGGCCGAGAGGGTAGCGGGATTGCCGAGGAGCGGAATGAAGGTGAATAGAGACGCCAGCATGGCATTGCACAAGTGGCCCACAGTGGCAGCGGTAGAGTCTGTGAATGCGGGGGTGGTGGGGGGTGGTCTAGCGGGGGGTCTTTACCTAAGTATGGTGAGTAAAATTGAATTAGGGAGAGGTGAGATGAGGTGAGACTACAAAGAGATTATAGCGAGTGGATCTAGGTTCTAGATCTGGTAAAATCAACTTCATTATCTCCGCGACAGCCGCTAGCCTTCAGCCAGAACAAACTTTGTATTCTCAGCGCATAATTCTACGAACTGACACACAAACACATTCCCCATTCCCCCTTCCTCACCCTCCCATCATTTAGCATTTGCTTTTGTGGTTTTTATGAGATTATAATAGAAGAGATCATCCTGAATGAGTCAGATATGAGGAATACACCCAACCCACAGCCCACAGCCCACAGCCCACAGCTCACAGCCCACAAGTCATGTACATATGTATGTATGTATGTATGTATGTATGTATAATCTCCAAAGACGCCAACCACATTGTAGATCGTGACGTAATAAGCCATCGGCATGGGAATGGAAATGGGTATGTGTCTGTTCGTGGGGCCGAGTAAGGGAGATGGCAGTAGAGAGACACTTGCGTACAGAAACCAATCGGCTACATTTTTCGACTCTCTTTGACATTGGGAGAGGCAGACAGGCAGACAGACAGACAGACAGACACAGACCCACAGCATGCATGTTCGTGTGCCTTTGCCTGTCTGTGTGTATGTGCATGTGGGTATGAGGCGTGCGACCGATAAGCAGGCGACAACTGGCCAATCCTTAGGTGGAGTGGAGCGGTGTGGTGCGGTGGTGCGGTGGGGGATGGTTTGGGATAGCTAGAGAACACACTTTTCATTATTTGTCCTTCGCGCGGTTCGCCGTCGTCTATGTGTCCCCCCGTCTGGTCCGTCTTATCTGTGTTTTCGTTTTGTGCACGTTTTCGATGGTTGTCGGTTAAATATGCCGTCGTTTTGCTTCTCCGCTCCTCCTCCCCCCCCCTAGACCACTGCCTCTGCCCAGCACAGCACTCTGTTTCCCGCCAATCAAAGCTGAAATTGGGGCATACTTAATACGCGTTAACCTCTCTCTCTTCCTTCTCCTCATCCTCTTCCGCTTGCAGCACCCTTGGTCAACCTTTCGTGGCTTATGTTTGTTTTTACGCCCCCACCCTATTTTTATTTAAGGGGTTTTCAGTTCAAGGCTCTTTAACCGTTTCCTCCCTCTCTACCCTACCTTTGTTTGGGCTTTGATTAATCGAAACGAATTTTTGGAATTTCTGCTGGAAAAGGCAGGACGGGAAGGCGAGCAAGGCAAAGCAAAGCAAAGCTTGCAAGCGAGGCTTTCTAGGCGGCAATTACACATACATACCTACATATGTATGTATGTATGTACATGTGTGGAGGAGAGATCAAAATGAGGGGCGGAGGAGTGCGTTTAGAGAGGGGGTGCTAGTGAGAGTTTGGTACTGCCATTGAGGTTCGGCAGCAGCATTATTTGTAAGTACTGTGGGTTAGGCATGGGGAATGGGAGTGAGTTTTCGGAAGTACCCTACCCCTACCCTATCCTACCCCACCCCCCCACGAAGCCAGTGGGGGGCTAGGAAGCAGAAGTACTAAGAGTGAGAGTCGGGAAAAGCAAGACGAAATGCTGTCGTCAAACGACAAGTGTACAAAAGCAAAGAAAAGAGAAGCACAAGCACAAAGGGTAGTGGGAAAAAGAAGGGGTGGGGTGGGGTGTGGGGGAAGAGAATGCGGGTAGGGATGTCAGGCAGACAGCGGCTTGCAGGCAGCAACGTTCTGGTGCGGTGCGGTGCGAGGGTAAATCGCGAATGTAGGACGCTGTTGGGGGTCATTGCGCGAGTGAGCGAGCGACGCACGCTTTCACTGTATGCGGAAAAAAAATGGTGGGAAGGGGGGAATGGGGGAATGGGAATTCCAATTTGGGAGTAGGGCGAAGGAGAGCTAAAATGAGGATTGCAGCCACGCAGGATAGGCGGGTGCTGTTGGGCGCTGGCTTCGTGTCAAAGGCAACTTCATTTCGAAGTTTTCCAAAGTGCTCAGCGTTCCGCTTCGTTTCCAGACGCTTCGTTTGCAATGTGTTACGGAGATGGATCCAATTCAAAATAAGAAAAAATGGAAAACCTTGACGACAGGCCAGTCGCTTGCCCTCAACCAGCCCCGCCCCTCTATATATCCCCCACAGCTTTTAATCTTTTCACTGCCTCCATGACTTAATCATCATCAGTTGCATTTCGTGTACACATACATGTACATGTATGTATGTATGTATGTACATATTTACGCTATTTCGATGGAGAGGTAATCGAGTGAGAGTGAAAAGTGAAAAGTGCGTATCCCCTGGCTAGGGGGGGAGGTCCAGCCCAGCCGGGAATGGGAATGGGAATAAAACAGTGGGGAATACACCCAAAAAAGAATGCCAAAGCAATAATAGTTGTCAAATCGCAACGAATCTTGGTAGCTACTAGCTAGTACCTGTTATATGTATGTACATATGTATGTATGTAGCCTCTTAAAGTACCAGCTGTTCATAAAGAAGAACATCTGATCTATTTTGGACACACAAAACACTTCACGATTACCGATTACCGATTACAACAACAATAACAAATCAAAACAAAACCAGTTCTCAGTCGCAGCTTCCTTCTCGCTATTTTTATCTATCCTCCATTCCACCCCAGTCACAGACGGCGGTTGTATCATCGAATTGTTCTAAATATTTCACTCAATGCAGTTGTTGCGAGGCAGAGCGAGATAAGGTTTCCCCTTCCATCAAGTGTTGTGTGCACTGGTGTGAG